TCGATCTAGCCCCAAACCGCTGCTGTCATTCAATGTGGAAACTTGAAATATGGGCAGATCGTCCGAGTAATTAGCAAAAGTTTATGGGGCCGATATCGAGAAGAAAACATCCCGCGACTCATGAGATATTTTATCAAAGCCGAAAGAATTGCATGTATGGTATCAGGCTAAAGTTAAACCATATTTATTGTCAGCCCTAGTGGACACACCATAACGTCCCACACCCACATCCGGGACACCCCCACATGTGGGACGCCCTAAAAATGATGCTGTATATTTTCACCATTGACTTCAACCTTTTTTTGCACTTATTCTGATGCGACTACAATACAGCTTTCACCGTCACTAGGGTTTTCGGACTCGCTAGACTCATCTATACTATCCTCAATTTCACCAGCCTCGATTTGAGCCTTCCGAATAGCCTTGATATTAGTAAACTTCGAATTAGGGCTCATCTTGACCTTCCTCCGCTTCCTAGCCCTACTAGCCTCAAGCTATGCCTCTATTGCCTCAATCTTTCGCTGTGCGACAGCTAACTGGTAGCCCTTCTCATCAAAGCCCTTTTGAACTTTCCGAAAGAGTAGCCGCTGGGTATTTGGATCACTATCAAGCTTGCTGGATAAGCTGAGTTGATCTTGGAGCTCATCTCTCCTCTTAGGCGTTGACCAGGCTACTGCTGATGTCTCTAACGCCCAGTCCTGACTACTAGAGTGCCCTTTGCAAGTCTGACTAGGCTGTTTGATTGGTGCTGACGTATTCTCAAGGAGCAGGGGGCTCATAAGGGGTCTAGCTATGCTCGAAGGCCAGAGACCAGTATATTTCCACCCACTGATAATGTTCTTGACGGTCAATGCTGCTAGACGTGTCTTTATATAGCAGAGCAGAAAGTTTCTCTTCCCTACGACAGTAGTAGTATCCCATTGGTTAAGGTAACCAAGCTCTTTCTTATAGGCTGCCTTGAGGGGTCCAAAGACTGACTGATCGAGAGGCTGGAGAACGTGGGATGTGTGTAGCGGTAAGAAAAGCAAGTGTATCTTGTTTATGAAGCAGAGGTACATAAACTCTGTCGTTTCGTGGCTACTATGCCCATCTAGGATAAGTAACCTAGTCTCTTCAGGGTCCTCTGGTTGAGTCAAAGGAATAAACATCTTTGGTAGCCACTCAATAGCCGTAGAGTCTGACGTCCACCTATTCTCTGTTGCTGTAAACCTCCAGGCTTCGTATGGAGTCAAGTCTAGAGGAAACCACTGCTGCTGGACAGACTTCCCCTTGTATATCACAAGTGGGGGTAGTGCAGTACCAGTCGCAGAGATACACTCTAAAAGAGATGTCCAAGCTCGAGATCCAGGCTGTTTCTTCCGTATAGAACGAGTCTCAGATGATCCTAGAACAATACCATTTGATCCTCTACCGTCTAGAATACCTGTCTCATCCATATTGTATCGATTCGAGGCCTTGATAGCTTTGATCTCAGGGATAGCGAGGTATTTGAACCATTGCCTGATCACATTAGCTGAGGCTCCATTAATACGCTGGGAATCGATAGCTCTGCTTCTCTGGACCTTGACTGAAGGGTTCCTCTTGATAAAATCCTGGACCCAGTTCTTTCCAAGTGGTTCGGTGTCTCCGTGGATCTGTAGGATACGCTCGGCGAAGTCTTTGAGCTGTTGATGGGTTGGTGGGAGGCCTAGGGCAGCCTGGATTCGAATCCATTCAGCCAGATGAGATTCCTGGGCTGGAGAGAGCCTCTGGTAGTCAGCGAAGGCTATATCTCTTGACTGGGCTCCCTGAATCCGTCGTGAAAGAGTAGACCTTGGGACACCATGCTCATATGCTGCTTTTCGGAGGCTTTGACCAGTAGCTATTTCTTGAAGAGCTCGATAAGTATCATCTTCGGTATATTGACTCATATTAGTGTAAAGAAGACGTACGTAAAATTTCGTAACGATTGAACCGATATTGGTAAAGATAAAAGAGGTTGAAGTTAGAGGCTAGCGGTGTTGATGAGGCATTTTTGGGTGTCCCACATGTGGGGGTGTCCCGGATGTGGGTGTGGGACGTTTTAACTTCGACGAGACAGGGTTCGCGATGGGCTTAATCTCATCCGAGATGGTAGTTACAAGTGCCGAACGACGCGGAAGGCGTCGTACAGTCCAACAAGGCAATCGAGAATGGGCTACAGTAATCCAGGGTATTAATTCGTCCGGCTGGGCTATCCCGCCGTATATTATTGTCGCGGGTCAAAACCACCTCGTATCCTGGTACGAGAATAGCCCATTCCCGTCCGATTGGGTAATTGCTGTAACCAAAAACGGTTGGACAACAAATGAGCGAGGCGTAGACTGGATTCAGCACTTTGATCGCTATATGAAGGATCGTACGAAGGGTGTTTATCATCTTCTTATCCTCGACGGGCATGAGAGCCACCACTCGACTGACTTCGAGCTATATTGCAAAGAGCATACTATTATTACACTTAGTATGCCTGCTCATTCGTCACATAAGCTCCAGCTTCTCGATGTAGGCTGTTTTAGGGCTTTGAAAAGGTCGTACGGCAAAGAAATTGAAGACCTAATACGGGCGCATATAACCCATATCTCGAAGGAGGATTTCTTTTCGGCATTCTATAGGGCGTATCGTACGACTATAACTAAGTCGAATATCCAGGCATGTTTCAGGGGGACAGGACTTATTCCGTACGACCCGGAATATGTGATTTCACAGCTGGATATTAAGCTACATACGCCTACACCTCCTGGGAGCTCGTATGGCGCCCCCTTAATCTGGGAATCTGATACGTGACCCCATGGGGGGTTGCCCTATAGCTAGAGATAAGATAGATAAGAGCTATAAAAGAGCTCTGCCAGGCCAGAATAGCTGACCTGGCCATCCTTTCCCAATACAACAATTCACACCCCATATGCACACGCATCAGAACCAAAGAATCGTATAGCATCAGAATAGCTCCCCGACGACAATACTTACGGCTATTGACCAATTTTTACGTGGTGCGACGGCTGTTATGCATCGGTTAGTTTTACTTGAGGATGAGGTTACTACACTTCGGAAGGCTAATCAAGAGCTAAGCCGTCGTCGAAGGACTCAAAATCGACAGCTACAAGATGGAGGATCTCTTAGTTTACGAGATGCTCAGGACTCACAGTGTCAACGGGATATTGAACAGCAGCTACAGGATGATATACGTGTAAGTCGTCGTCGTACGAGACCGGCCGAACCACGCCGACGGCGCTGTAGGATCTGCGGAGAGCCCGGACATAATGCTCGTACTTGTGAGAATGATGAAGATACGTACGAGGAAGAGGATTCCGATTAGTTTGAATTATTATTTTTTAGTTTAGTTAAGTTATTGAAGTTATTCATACGGTGCCAAGAAAAAGTGGCCAACTTGCTTGTGGGGTACGTTAACAGAAAACAGTAACAAGGAAAATTCCAAAGTATGTGGCTCTGCAGCCTTGCTGCACCAGCGAACTAACTCAAGTACTCACCATTCAGTCGAACCCGATCTTGATGCGTAAATCTCCAAGGTGCCTTTGTCAAGTGATTTAATATTGTCACTCCGGCTTGGGTATATGAGACGAAGACACCGCGTGGCACCCGAGCAGCAGGAGTTCTAGCTAGACAACAAGACAGAAGCGCCTATATTGGGGAAAATAGAACATGATACTAGTGCTTCCCTCAGCCTATGTATTAGCGCATCATCTATTTCCTCCCATGCCTGATGTCACTGATCTTGGGCTCTTGGATACTTTCGTCCAGATAATTCGCCAATTTATGATACCGCGTGCCTCGAGCTTCGACGTTTTGAGAAGGTCGAAAGCGACCGTGACCTTTCCAGAGAGTACACGAGCGTAAGCAACTTGCGCTTCTCTCACTCGAGTCGCTTCTTGTAGTTGTGGATCATACGGGGTTGTGTACTTATTCTTGCGGAGCAAATACGGTGAGTTTGTTCAATGTGTGCTCCACCCACATATCCACGATAGCCGGTGCCCGCGCCGGATGAGGAGGATCGTTTTACCACCACATAAGACCTGCAGTGCATCCGCAATCTATTCAAATTGCTACCTTCCCCTGCTTCTTGATAGACACGATGTTGGAAGGGCGAGTTATCGCAAGCTGTTAACAAGCTTGAACCAGAGTTAGAACTTGTCAACAAGTCAGAGCCAGGGCCAGAACCAGTCAACTACAGTCATCTACTAAGATATTATCTAGTAATATTGCCGAAAGGTGAGAGATGGTGGATGCAGAAAAGGAAGGAGAGTCCCTGGGTTAATCTAGAGCGAACGTTATCATGTTATATTAGAGCGTAACTGGCTGTCCAATTGACGTATCATGTCTCTTATCTGACGCTATAGAGCGAAGGCTGGAATTAGATCTAAAGGGTTAAGCCACGTGGTAATATTTGTGGGTCGTAGTAAAGCCTACGAACTCGAGCACTATTGATGCGAGTGCATATGGGGTGTGAATTGTTGTATTGGGAAAGGATGGCCAGGTCAGCTATTCTGGCCTGGCAGAGCTCTTTTATAGCTCTTATCTATCTTATCTATAGCTATAGGGTAACCCCCCATGGGGTCACGTATCAACTATACGGCAAATAGGGCAAATACGACCCCTATTGGACCTAACCCCTCGTGCGCATCGCCTCGTATCCAGCGACCCTGGAACTCGCTACCAGTGTTAACTTGCTCGGAGACCCTAGCCAGAGAGTGCTAGGAACTCTCCGAGAGTATAGTCTCTGTTGGGATAGTGTTATAAAAACTAAGAGAAGACCCAAACACAGATACCGGGTCTCTCACATCTCTTCGTTCTCTTGGCATGCAACTCCTTGCCGTCGGCTCAAGCAGCAGACTCGGCGTTCACCTTTCTAGGTTTCTTGACTTGCAGTTGGCTGACTAGCGGTGCCTAACTTCAACAAACCAGCACATTGACAACTTTCCGCTTCTGGAGTACATCATACCAACCTCGACAGTTACTCGCGTGAGAAGAAACATTGTGGGTTGGTCTAGTCCCATGGACCCCAGATCTAACCTTAATCACCTCAGCCCCCAACCTGGCACCAGGGATCGGACTACTGCTAAATTCCTTCAAAAGAGCACAGTGAACGAACGGCCTCCATTGTTGATGTTAACGTATGAACCAATCTCTGCTGCAGACACGTGGCCTTAGACACAGGATTACCATCAGCGTGACCGGTGCTCATAGAACGTGGTGGTCCTCACTGGACACGCTGATTCACCGACGCAGTACCGTGATCTGAGCGTCGGAAACTGGGTGCTGGGCTGACAGGTGGGGTACTGATGGTTTAGACTATTTCGATAAGCAACCGACTTCCATCTCCGCCAGGTGCGATTTTATTTTAGGTTGCGTCAAACCAAGTAGTTGTTATACAACTGCAAGTCGTCGTGGTCCATCCAGTTGGACAGTTCGTGGTATAGAGCACCGGCCGTGGACGGCTGTTGTGCTTGTTGGGTCTCAATCTGTTTGGGGACTTCAGGATTGAGGATGAAGCCGACATCATACGCCGTTATCGCAGCCGGATGTTGAACCTGTGAAGACGGGGGAACAATGGAAGTTGGACTGCTCCCCAGCGACGAACCGTCATGTTTCTGGTTGCGAAGACGATGGACTAATGAGCCCAAGCCCCGAAGAACCCGGGCGCAGTCTTTGGGGTAATGATTCTCGCCCGTCGCCTCGGCATCGAAGCACTCGACGACAAAGCTGACACCTTGCGTATCGTGTTCCTCGAGTCTGTCGAACAGCAGCTGATGCAACAGCAGGATGATGGCCGCATTGAAGATGTTGTGTAAACTGGTTAATAGCATTTTCCGCGAAGGCATCAAGTCACGAACCCAGCGACCTAGCCTCAGGTTCCTACGGGCCGCATCGCTACAAACCCTGAGGTACTTGATATGGGGATGTGTTTCGAGACTCCAACAGCGGTTGGTCAAGCGCTCGGCCACGGCTCTCTTCACCGCCATGAAAAAGATGGGCCGGATGGTAAGGATCAACAGCTGCAGGCAAGATGAGTGACGATCTCACACTTTGAGAGCAGACGCATGGAATCCGCGTACCTGATTGTATGCCATGTGCAGCTCACAGCATGCTCTGTCACTCGTGAAACCAGCGTCGGGGAGTTGAAGCTGGGGAGGAAGCTTGGCCGCCCAGCCCGTAAGCCAACCCAGCGCGTTATCAATACGATACGACGCGTCTGCCGTCTGGCGCTCCCACGGGCATGGGGCAATTCGATATGTATTGCAGACAATGTACCCAGATATCTTGGCCAGTTCTACATGTGCTCGGAGGCCCACAGCTGAGGGGAGGCCCCTATTGACATTAGTACCTTGACACTTTGGCACAACGTATGAAACTGACTCACACAATTTCGGTGGGCATGGCCAGTCGAATTGCCTCGTCTGCAACGGCCGGGGGTCGGCCCATCAACACACTCAGCCACCGATCTATGATGTACAGGGTCCAGAAGGTGCGCTTTCCCAGCTCGTCCACCCAGCCGCAATGTACGCCGTGCATGACAGCGATTTGCATGCCCAGGCTTACGTACATGTAGGCCGCATCCCGCCGGTTCATCTCGACGAGATATATACTCATCATGGCGAGAACGGAGATGTCGTGCACCGTGTTCGTGTTCGTATCCAACGGGTTTCCCAAAAGGAGTCGGGCTCTTGCGAAGAAGGCCTCGTTTCGTTGCGCACTACTGATGTTGTCCCCCGGCGGCTCAAGCAAACATGCCATAGCAAAAGCGGCGTGGAATAGGGCGAGCTGGCGTAGTGTGCGTGGGTCGGCAGCGGATGAGTCTAGGGGCTCCTTGGAGTCGAAGAAGGACGGGTCTAGGTCGCCCCAGTAATAAATGCCACCCGACAAGAAATCGCCGCTTCCGTCCTGGACGAAGTACCGAAGCTGTGTGATCATGACTGTGACCTCGGTCTTTATTGGTAGCCAGAACGGGTCGACATCGTGAACCACCAGGGGCTGGGAGTCAAAAGTTTGGTAGCGTCCCAGGGAGCCCAAGAAGGTGCCCTCTAGATTCTGCGAGCCAGGCCATGCGAGGGGGAACATGGTGTTCATGAACTCTTTGATTAAATCGAGAAAAGCGGCACCCGAAGTAGGGCCTAGGTAGCGTTGAGTGCCGTCAGGGTCGTAGAGCATTCGGCCCTCCTGAGCCGACTCGTCTTCTTGGGCATCATTCGGTCCCATTGCTGGTGCTGATGCTGGTGCTGGTGCTCCTGCTGTCGTCGTCGCCGTTGTGCTGCCTCCTGAGTTTGAAAAAGCAGCAGCTCCAGTGCGGGCCATGAGGTCACGCCGACTCGCCTCGTCAGGGATAGCCAACTCCAGACACGCCTCGAGCCGCTTGCATTTGGCAGTGAGCTCCTCGAGGTCGGTGCGCGGGACGGCTATCTTTTCGACGACAACGGGATACTGGCACTCCCGGGACCCATTGCGGCATTGCAGACACGGCCTTTCGCCCGAGCACTTGATGCGCCTCACATTGCAGCTGTTGCACCTACGTTGGGAAAATTATATCAGATTTTGCGGTTGCAACGGCGCACATGGTGTACGGTGGGTCAAAGAGGTGAACTTATCAAGGTTCGGTGTGGATTGTAAATCTTGACAATGGGAAGCTTACGCGGTGGAGACTCGCTTCCGCTGCTCTGGCGCGACTTTGTGACGTCGGTGGTTAACGGGCAGGCGCTGTGCCGACGAGTTGGTTGTTCTGGTTCCTGATTCTTTTCCTGTTGTTGAGGCTCTTCTCATGGCGCTGGCGGCGGTGGGAAAATCTCAAGTCATTCTACGAGACGATGGAAAGGTACTATTGAGGGTGCAAACCCCCTAAGAGAGAGCGCCAAAATCGACTGATCAATCAGACTGAGAGCCTACAGAAAGACGGTGAAGATGATCGGTCTGGAGGAGTTGGCGTGCACATATTTCTTGCTTCTGCCTGAGCTGACGCGCGGGGGGCAGGTCAAATCATTTTGATCATTTTGCGTGGAAATGCCCGACCGTCACTCCTCCCACTTCCAGGTTTGCACGAGAGCACCTTTGCCATGAGTGTTGAGGGCTTGGCGCTGCTAACTGCCTACGAAGTAGTGTATCCACCTAATCCCAAAATAGCATCCAGCAGCATCCAGATTGATGCAGCAGGGATATGAGCTGAAAAGAAGACAGTCCAGTCATGAGTGCAAAATCACCGACGACGGTTTTTTGCTTTAACCTAGAAGTACGTCGCTTCAAGGGAGTCTGTAAAATGTCAGGCTACAGAAGGGCAATAGGAATTGCCAAAGACGATGGTAGTTTAGGTATTGGTAAAGGCACAACGTAACATTAGAAACAGGGCGGACTTTGACCGTCTAGAGCTGAATGGGTAGCCTGGTCGGTGTGGCCGTAAATAAATAATAATAATATTAAATACGCCGTAGGTGTTAACCCTCGGTACCTCTACAAGTACTCCCTTAAGGGGCTATAGATGATATAGCGGGCCCTTAAGCCGCGTCGGGCGGTTATACAGGTAAACTTGTAGCCAAATGACTACTAAACCTCCTGTCCCTCCCTAAGGATGTGCTACAACCCCTGCCTGAACTACCGATAAGTGTGGTAATGTGGCACTTAAATTCGTCCTCAGGGGTGGGATGCTGCTGATGTGCAGAAGATGCTCGACTATTTTTTTTGTCGCGACAAGTCGTAGTATCTGCTAATTGGGGTTCTCGTCGAGCGTATACATCTCAACCATACGCTCAAGTGGATAGACCGTAACGTGGTCTAGACGCTCGCAAGAATCGCGGCGAGAGGGCGTGCTGCGCGCCTTCTATCGTGAGGGGACGGGTTCGCCGACGAGCGTTATCGGAAAGGCGAGGTCCGATAAGGGGTCGGATTAACGATTCGAATTCTGGACCGGCTGTCGAGTTATATTCCGCCGACGTAGTGCTTGACGGTCGACTGGCTAGGATGCTCGTAATCCTAAACTGCACCAATCTCCCTATTATCGCTAGGTAGGCGAAGTCAACAAGGTGGGCAGCGCGCCGTAAGGGTTGACTAAACCCCCTTGTGTGTCAGCTGCGGGATTCGAACCCGCGACTCGTCACCGACCCAAGTGGGCGAGGCTCAAATCGGGACTTATCTACCAGCGAAGTGACCAACTACACCAGCCGACAGCCGTAAATAATCATCACAAACTGATACTTTGGTGGTGTAAGTGTAAGGATATGAGTCTCGTCAAGTCGGAAGCAGCTTCGGCAGAGCCACCCCACTCTGCTAGTTGATTCCAGGCTCCTGTCCTGCTCATGCACTGTTGCAGGCTACTGCGGAATTATGCAAGCTGAAGCTTTTAAATGAGAGTCTAGTTCGTCTTGGCAACATGAAAACCGTTATCCGTAGCGTTGAACTGGGAAGGGAGGTGCCACAAATGGACTGTGTCCTCGCTTTCGTCAGTGGTCGGGACAAGAGCTGGAAAGCACCCTGGTATTCGCACGTGCGACGGAAGTCAACCCATGTTCATATGTGTTCGTGACGTGAGTTTTGCAGACCCAAGACGATGCCTTCATCATCTTCACTCGTGGTTGCCCGAGCATTGATCGTAGTGCTTTCAGACCCCACGCGCCACTGCAAACGGCCTCAAGCCGGTCTATGGCTATCCGCATGATGGCGTCGGCACGGTCTGTCCACATCTCGTGGCAGAGCCCAGCCTAGTTCAGCATGCTGGTTGGAGGACTACTGCGACTCCAAGAGAAGGAAAATGGCAATTGGGATGTGAATATGCCAAGATCAGAGGTTACTCTCAACTCGGGAAGGAGTCGTGACGGTCAAACTTCGGCAAATCGAGTCCCACGGGTCATCTTGAATTGACGTCATCGTTGTACCTTCACAGTTTTACTCAGTATCATGACATTGGGGGGTACTTAAGACATCCTTCTGATATCCGCCATCGTTACGGCCAAGTCTGCGTTGCTTGTCGGTTGTGTCACCGCACCACCACCTTGGACCGAATGTATCATGGTGCACACCTCACGCTCGCCTTGTCGGCCACACCCCGGGCCACACCCCGGGCCACTCCCCGGTTCGCTTTCCATTGTCAACACCATATCCCATCCCCACTGAGCGGCATTGCCTGGTCAGGCTGGTCTCGCTACACCCAAAGCGCCATGGCGACCAACCAGGCCAAACACGCCGACAGTGCAATCAAGAAACGCGCAGTAGCTGGCTCGTTTCTCTTCAGGTTCCCAGACAAAAACAATGCCAAGAAAGTGGAAGTGGCCCTCTTCAGACGTAGCAGCAAGGTGCGCACTTACCAACATCGTCTCGCCCCCATCTCCGGCAGCGTCGAGGAGGACGACGCCAACCCAATCGCCACCGCTTTGCGCGAGATCCACGAAGAGACGACGTTGACTCTGCCCAAGTCAATTGAGCTGATGCGCATGGGCAAGCCGTACTCGTTCGTCGATTCCGATATCGGCCGGGAGTGGTCCATCAACCCCTTCGCCTTCCGCCTCAAGTCCACCGCCGAGGGTGGTGCAGGCGAGGAGGGCATCACTATCGACTGGGAGCACGAGGGCTGGGAGTGGTACGACCCGCTGCATGTCAAGGACAGGGATGAGTTTGGCGGCGTGCCCAAGCTGGTCAACAGCCTGCGGCGCGTGTGGCCCGAGTACGACCTTGGCGCAGAAGCCGGCAGTGCGTTGACGCAGGGGTTGCTCGAACTCCGCCATGATCACGAGAGCGGTGCAAGGCAGCTTGCTGCGAAGGCCGTGGCCGTTCTAAGGGAGGTAGTGTACAAGATGGGCCTGGACGCGGTGGCACGGGATGAGGCGGCCTGGTGGGGAAATGTGCGCATGACGGGCTGGCATCTATGGAGAAACGGGAGAGAAAGTATGGGTGCTGCCATCGTCAGCGCTTTGGTCGATGTGCTTTCCAGGGTCGAAACTTGCATAAAAGAGGAGCGCTCGCCAGACGATAAATTACGGACGGCTCTCGAGGTGGTAGACGAACACCTCGCTCAACGCGACTCTACCGTGGGCCGCATTTGCGAGTCCTTCATCAATTACCTCTCGTGCAATGTGCTCCTTGATGGTCAAGCAGCGCCAAAGAAAACCTTGAAAGTTCTCACGCTCTCGCACAGTTCTACCATTGCGAGTTGTCTCCTCGCGGCGGCATCTGATTTGGATGTCTCCCTAGACCTTCGCATCCTCGAATCTCGGCCCTTATGCGAAGGAGTCACCCTAGCGTCAAGAATTATTGCAGAGACCGTCAAGAACAAGAACGTCAAAGTCAACGTGACGCTGTGTTCTGACGCGTCAGCCGCCATGGCCGCCGACGGTATCGACATGCTCCTTCTCGGAGCCGACAGGATCAGCGCCGCCGCCGACGTAAGCAACAAGACGGGCTCGCTGCCTGCCGTTTTAAGCACCAAATACATGTCCCCTAATGCCAAAGTTGTCGTGCTAAGCGAGGTGGACAAGGTCGCTGGACCCGGGGCCACAGGTGAACACGTTGTTGAAGATAACGACTCGGGAGAGCTCGTGGTGGGGTGGAAGGACGCGGTGAAAGGGGGAGATGCGATTGCCAATTTCCTGGAGGAAGATGGTTTCAATGGAGAGAATAAACAGGCGGTGCGGGTCAGGAATGTGTACTTTGAATGGGTTCCTGCACGATTAGTGAGTGCTTATGTAACGGATCAGGGAACTTGGGCGGTGGATGAGATTAAGCGCAGGTCCGATTGGGTTGGAAAGGAATCTGAGAGGTTATTTGGAAACCTATAAGGATACTGTGCCTTACAATGGAATTATTCGTTTCAACATGACACTTTGGTATCCTGCATGTGGTTGGCAGGTTAGACGTTGGATGTCTGGCCGGCAGATATCTTATACAAGCTCGCACCACGCCGGACGCCGGTAGATATCGGTCGATCGAAATCAGGGTGAGTACTTTTAGCCCGAGTTTTGATACTTCTACATCTGGTGGTGCTGTAGCTCCAAGGTAATCGTAAATGTAGCTCTCGTACCAGTGCTTGTAGCTTGGGTGTAAGCACAGCAGTAATTCACCGCAAACTAAGTTTGATACTCAAGTTAACCAACCATATGCGGCTACCCTATATGCATCTCTACTACTATTTTCTATATAACCGCACAACCACGCATCTAACTAATAAGAAAACTTACCTAGCTATTCTTCACCTTTAAGCCTATCTGCTACTAGAAGTATATTAGATAAATTACGTTTACGACATACCTTTATCAACGTACTTCATAGTAGGTTATAGTGCTAGTTACCTATAATTATGTAAGGAAAGAGCCATCATGGCGGGCCGGTCTCAGCTAACAAGCTGAGTCGGGGGTTTCGCCCCCGATCCGGTAGAACCCTAGAGCCACCTAGTCACAGAGAATATCTCGAGGCGCTCCCACCTAGTTAGATTCCTTAAGAATCAGTCTTGTAATATACGCAGCTATAACCCTAGCGTGTCAGGGTCGTGTATGGGGGTACCAGTAGTTTATTGTTGTAGCACGAAGAATGGAACATCAGCCAGCTCGTGCAGTACCAATATACATGCGGTGCACGGCCCTAGCCCCGTGACAAGGGCTAATTCGACGGCTAGTAGTTTGAAGTGTTCTCTATAAGAATACCCGGATTCTAAGGACTCTGAATCAATAGAATTAGACTAACGGAGTTAGCGAGGTAGTGGGTTATATAGTAGTGTACTATACTTGGTTTAGTAGAAATCGGTTAATTATATGGTGGGTAATTACAGAGTAACGTTATACTGAAGTATCGTGAAGTTAGCGATTGTAGTGGAGGCTGTTAAGTGGGGTAGCCGCAGATGGGGTGGTGGTGGTTAACTTATACTAGTGGCTATGTAATGTGTATTCGTGGACGCTGCTAATTTTGCAGACTCCCAATGCGGATTTCATTATGCGCAAGTAATCGAGATGCTAACAGATCTCAATCGCATACTACTTTACACGGCACCGTTCATGGCAATGTTATCAAACGTAGCATGTCGTGCAACCAGCTTCGACCATATACCTCTCTCCCTATGGTGCACCGTGATAAGCGATGGAAGGAAAGAGAACAAAACAGAGCCTCGCCCGTTTGCATCAGCCTGCATTCAACCAACCACAGTTCTCCATAAACGGTCGGTGTGTTCTAGGATAGTGATTGCTCCGTGCCACACTTGTCAAGCCGTTGGGTTAGCTGGGCTTTTGCAGCATGCACACCAGCTGGCAATGCAAGAAAGCGCAGATCTGTATGGACGGGCCTCTGTTTTAGCCAATGGGAAATTACTACCTCAAGTGACTTCGATGTACCCAGCAGGTATCCCCGAACTGCATATAGCGAAGGGTATCGAAAATGTTACGAATGCGCGAGGCTCTGTACGAGTTGTACCAATATTTAACAGCGCTGCTCCGACATCACTTTTGGGTTTCTTTTGTATCTATCTGCAACTTCAAATTCTCACCTACGACTTCCCTCTTCCTTCCCATCAACCTCATCAACATCACGACGGTCGTGGACCATGGTGGCCCGAAGATGTGTGCCATTTATGACCACAAAAGAAATGAGAATGGACAACATGAAGGTGATCAGCTGCTTCACCATCTTCATGTTGTCCATTTCACCTCACACAACTTCTGGATCACCATGGATCACGACCGTCGGGAAACAGAGCATCTGTACCGGCATCCTGAGCAGCATCATGACAAGGTCCGTCTTCTCCATCCGAACAACCATCGCTCTGGTGTGTATGCTAATGGATTTGACAGAAATCCCCCGCTTCAAGCCGAACCTGTGGATGTCGAGATCCGCGATACAAGGCAGAGAAAGGGTATTAATCGCTCACAAAGTCCAGTTACGTCTTCTCGCAGAGAAAATGCTATGAGACGTGATGTGGATGGGTTGGTTAATGCGCCACACCAGTCATCTCCTGTGTCACAGATTGAGGACTCCAGTTGGCTCAAGGTGGTCCTGTTCAGGATTTATAATCAGCAATTGAAGCATGACTTGCAGGTAGGAGCGGTTGAGATTCAAGTGACATGGGACTTGCTGAACAGACTCTAGGCAATGTCGCGCAAGTCCAGATTGACGGACCTGGATTACGTCGCAAAACTGGTCCCCGAACATCACAAACAACAATTATTCCAGCTGTTATAGCTACCAATCAAACAATCAGAAATCACAAAAACTTTACTCAAACGAAAAATTTCCCATCTGCTGAAGATGGAAAGTTTGGAGGACTACTGCTTCGGCGGTCCACATGGCTTGAACCAGCCCCCTGACTCTGAGAACGTGTTTGACGCCTGGAACATGTACAACCTCGCAGAAATAGACACAGCGGGAATCCCATCATCGTTTCACCTCACTGATATGCATCAATCATCCCGGAGCCAGGACGATGCAGCAACCACCGCTGGCGATAGCAGGAGTCCGGCAACGTTAATGGACTTGTTGGAGGTTGAGTTGGACACTGAAATTTCCTGCCCGTGGGGTGACTCTCATGGTAACGATTTAATCGATCTCTCACTATTACAGGCCCAGGTCCCAGTGCAGAGTAACACCCAGGACCACTGTATTGATCCACAATACATGATCATGTGCAGCCCTAGAGATCTCACCGCAAGTCAGGATGTTGACGCGTTTGTCCAAAACGACGCTCCCATGGCGTCGACGACTGAACCGGTGCCACCCACCCCACGGATCAGTCAGCCGAAAACACCATCAAACAGGAAAGCAACAGCAGAGTCCGCACAAGGGAAAAAGCAGAGACAAATGAACAAGGTCCAAAGCTGCCCCACCTGCGGGAAACACTTCAAAGGTCGGCGAGACTATAAGTAAGTCCCACCGCAGCCACAACAACCAACTGGCAACGTGCTCAAGATTCAACCCACAGCCGACACATAAAATATCACGACCGCCCCTTCGCCTGTCACCTCTGTGAATCCAATTACGGCGACCCCAAAGGCCTCAAGCGGCACATCGTCGCCTGCCACAAGGACTACGCCCACGCGCAGAAGGAGTTCCAGCAGTACGTGGGGCCCTTTCCGTGTGGCGTGGCGGCATGTAAAAAGGTTTTCACGCGCCTGGACAATCGGAAGAGGCATTGGGAGAATAAGCATAGCTTGGACAGTCCCAGCCCAGGTAGGTTGCGGAGTGTTCAACGATAAGCTGATGGTCCAGAACCAAGGTTCAACTACGAGAATTTCGGTTGTTTTGCTATGGAGGGCGAGGGCTACCTTTTTATTTGTTTCTTGGGAGCAATTACCAGTGTGTTTTACTTGGGCGGTTCTAATGAAAATCTATGAGAAACGATCTACTGAATATCAAGTCGTATCTGAGAGCATGAGCACAAAATAAACCCATAAAAACGAGCCCAGCATCTGCGTGCTTGAATGCACTGGCTTGCCCTTTTAATTAACGGAAGAAGGTTGCAGTTCAAGTCACTAGACAGTATAGGAGTACTTTCGTGTAAATAGCACGTGTCTCGAGTATGGCGAACTGAAATAAATACCACGAGACATGACACCAAAAACGAGCCCACGGAATTGTCTATATTTATTACTATAGCATTTTGCGTTATGCATGGGTATTTTATTCTATACGGTAGGGGCACAATCAAAGGAGCTTGATTACAGGCGAATGATGGCAGATTTAAACCGAATGGGAAGGCCGGGAAGGAATCGATGTGTCACGTAATAGCCCTACAGAAGTATGCATAATGTCAATATTGATTCGCGTGGAAAACGTATTCTCGTACATTTCTTTTCGCCTATGCGCATTCATGTACGGGCTACTGTGGAGTACCAAGCTGAATTAGCTCTGACATGTGTCAGCAGGAGATGGGAAAAAGTTTGGCATATGTGGCCGAGATAGGGAAATGCCTGTCCCACGGTCTCGGCTCTTGTTGCTTTCGGTGTCACCGTGGAGATGTATGCAGACATACATGCATTGCGGAAGGGACCGTCTATGCGGCATGGACGCCGTAGGCGAAAAGCATGAAGATGACATTGGTCCAATCTAACTTACTCAAGCGCGTGTTCACTGGAAACGGGGACAGAAAGTGTCGAACAGGGGTCACTAGAAACTATATTTGACACAACAAATACGGTAACATAAAAACATCAAACGGTTAGGGAGGTGCCCGTATCACAAGTCGAGGGCAATTGTGGTCAATATTCATGTTTAGCATCAAGTATATGCACTAAGTATTACCAACTATGCAGATATGCTTGCTTGCACCGATTATTCCTCTCGTCATCTTCAGCCCAATTCAGACATTACCGGCAACGGTGGCCATATCTCGCATTACACAATACCGCATATTATTCCAATCCATGGCCATCCATTACTGAATCATTAGCGCGGGCGGTGGCTGTTACCGCCATGGCGTCCAACTCCCAAACTCGAGCCGTGTACGGCCTTTTTACGAACAGATGAAGGCAGCCATCATGCCGAAGACCAGAGCACCGACAGAGCTAGCGGCGAAACGACTGGATCCGCTCTGGGGAGGGGCCGATGTGGTGGCGGCAGGCGACGTCTCGGCTGGGCTGGTGCCTTCGGGCGTTGTGGGACTGGCCGTCTCGCTCACGCTCTCGCTCACGCTGGCGCTCTCGCTGGCGCTGGCACTGGTGCTGGCAGAGATGACAGCGGATGGCGAATCCGTGGCGGGGACCGAGACAGGGACCGACTCGGTGGGGAGAGTGACCTCGGCAGTGGTCGTCGCGGGCGGTGCGGTGGCAGGAGCGGTGCCAGGGGGTGTCACCTGGATCTGGCCGTCGGAGAACTGGCTGACGGGGACGGGCGTTGTGGATGCGACCGAGGTGACAGAAGCACAAGGCGTGGTGTGAACCTGCACCTGTCCATCACCAATCTGGCACAGGGGGATGGGGACGCTGGTGGTGACGACCTGGGGCTGTCCGTCGCTCAACGCAGTGATGATGGTGGTCTGAACCACGGTCGTGCCAACAACTTGGCCGTCACCAGCTTGCGAGGCAGTGTCTTCGGAGCCGCAGGACATGGCGATGATAGAGACCTCCTCGCACTGGGCGGCCCAGTTGCGGTCGTAGAGGTTGTAGAAGTTGCCTGACAGACAACGGTAGAATGTTTTGTTGGCGCCCAAAGCCAACACGTTATTCTCGCAAATGGAAAAGCCACTCGTGTAGAGGGCGCCAGCCTGGGCCGGCTTGTCGAATTGGAACTGGTAGTTGGACGCGATGTACCCGGTGCGGTCCAGCGAGTCCTTAGCAATACCGTCCGTCAGGCTCATGACCAGGATGCCATTGGCGCCGCATACCCCGCGTTTCTGCTCAAGTGTTAGGAGGCCAGACAAGGAGAGGGGGGAAGCCACGAGACGGGACAACGGGATGGGACGTACCTCGGGCTGGCTGATGCTCCTCTTCTCCGTGATGGTAGCGACGGTAATCTCAAAGTTGCCATCGAAGCTGGTCGAACATCCGGAGGGGGTCTCGCCGTCGGGGCTAATGGGGTCGGTCACGCCCTGAGGAGCGGCCAAGACAGCACCCAGAAGGGTGCAAGCGAGAGCGAACGTGTGCCTCATCTTGAAATGATACCTCCAAAGTATATATTAAAGATGTAGATCGTAGCGACCGGAATGGCAATGGATGATGGATGCTGGGTGTTGGACAACGAGGGTAATTTGTACAAGTGACAAAGTATATAGCGAATGGGGGGGGGGGGGGGGGAGAAGGACAACAGCGTCTTCTCTTGCTTGCGTGCCTCGTGAGAACACTCTGCTTCACTGCTTCTGGTGTGGGAAAGATAGGAAACGGATGTACGAGTCAACAGAAGGGATGAGCGGAGGAAGCAAAGGAGGGGGGCAGGCTGTACGAGAGTTATATACCACTCACAGGCGGCGTCTACGAGAGTACCGAACGTACACGGTGGGCGGCACTCTGCTGCTATTGTGCGCGCCAACGGTATATCTCCGTGTATATCGGGTACATGGGGTCGACAGAGTGATCGACCGCAGGCCCACTTGGCCTGCCAGGGTGTGGCTTGTAACGGGGGGTTGGGCCCAGGATTAACTCGTCATGGATTGCCGGTACACGGGTACCTCCTCTGCCTAAGGTTGTTATTATCAACTTCCGGGTTTTGATGCATCCACCCAGTTATGGCAGCAATTGTCAGGTCTCAGAAGAATTTGACTGAATGGCACCAACAACAAATCTTTGCCCCTTGCGCGAGATGTGGCGTTGGCTAATTTGCATAGGCACGGATGCTAATGTACGTACGGTCGTGAGTTGGCGATGTCAGTGTCAGCTTGAGTTTACTCTTTAGGGTCCACAAGTCGTAGCATGAGCTTGTTGTGCGTTCCTGCGTGTCTCCCACTCTCTCGTGCGAACTGCTCTAGCCTGCAGGTTGCCCGTTGCCGTCGCCGTTGCCGAGCCGTCTGGCGTTGGACACACAATGCACTTTGCACGCCCTAAAAGAGGTCGTGGTGCGTTTTCAGCCAGGCTCATGGAGTTCCAGCTCGAGATGTTGTGCAAGCTGATTCCGAGACAGCAGTCAATACCGGGCGTTGTAGCAGTGTCCTGCTTGGAGCCAATCCGACATGTCGCTGGGCGAACGCGGCCTGCAGTAACGAGCAAAGGCGGCATGTCGCTGATTAGCATTAACTGAATTGCGCCCAAAACATGCGCAATCGTTCGATTCCACAAGGATTCCACAAGGGCATCCTGCTGCTGAGGCACATTTTATCCGCGGATCTTCTTTTCTTCTCTCTTTGGGAAAGCTTCTTTTGTTCCCTTGTCGGTCGAAACAATCAATTGCACTTGTGCTAGCTTGGGCTAGTGCTTCGTAGGTATCCGTAAATCCAGACCTATTCGGGCAATTCACATTGATCCAGTCGCCCGTTGCCCGTTGATGGCTGGCTGTAACCTTAGCGCGAGCAAAAGAATGAGACCCGCTGATCGCCCGGGAGGAGGAGAATTACTGACAGCACCTTCGCAAGAGCGCCCCCGAGGTCCACCTAGAGCACTTAAAAGTGTGGGGAGGCGGCGTCAGTGCAGACACCGTCAACAATCGACTAACTAAATCAAATCGAATTGACTTTTCCCGTTTTTAGTGACCGTCCAAGCTTCCAAGGTGGTAAAGCTAAATCTTACCCTTCTAGGGCACATTCAGCGCAAGCACGAGAAAAACAAGGAACGAAAACATGAGCATGTAGAGGACGGCACGACCTTTTGATGTCCCCCAACATGAAGATCGTGCAACATTGAAGCGAGATCGCCTCGTTCGTCCCAGCGCAAGTGCAGAGCAAGAGCACAGCACACATCTAGGTCCAGACCAATTGAACCACGCACCGAAGTCGCTGAACGGCGACCGCCCGGCTCCCCCGGCTCCAGTCTATCCCAAAAGGCCAAAACCCACCACGGTGGAAAAGCTGTCCACATATGCGAGCAGCCTACGTCTAACAGCTGCATCTTGCATCTGTGACACATAATCTCGAATCTGGTGGGACGTGCCACAGACCGAACCGCGCGACTCGTCCCTTCGCCGTCTGCGTTCAAGGTACGGATATCGTAGTGGCTCCCCATCCCATCCCCTCCTTCTGGCCATGCACAGCAGCAGCTCGGCTCTCGTAGCCTCAACAAGGTGCCCTGCACGTGCAGCGAACCCTAGGGACAACGATGCTTTAGCTCCGCTAGCTCCGCAAGCAGGTTTGTCCCTTTTGTCGTTTTCGATCTCTTTTCCAAATCTCGTGCAGCGTCCGCAGGGTGAAAAGTTGCTCAAGCGAGTGGCGTACAGGTCGGCAAAATCAAATGTCACGATGACCCTCCAACAGCTCTAGTCCATTGCATACTTTACCCTAAGCAAAAATATTCTCGCAGAGGTCGTCCTCGACACCCAAGCACCTTGGATAGCTGCAATATTTGGACGATCAACCATTCTGCCGTCCAAGTCCCACACACTAAACCAATACCGATTGCGGGCAGGGCAGGGTCTGCAAAGACCACGGCATCTACACGGCGGCAGCGATCGCGATAGGCGAATTTTACGTTTTGTCTTGCAACGGCCCGGGAAAGCCACTGACGCGGACGACAGAAGCAATTCAAATCACCTACATTCACGCGAGCTAGAATACTTACTCATGTAGCTAAATGCGACAGGTGGATTACAACAACATGGCTAGGGGGGCCTTTCGGACCTCTAAGAACCCCAACAATACGAGTATGCTACACACTGCAGATCAACTGGCAATTGCCAAGGTGGGCGGCTCGCAGGAGCGCGGACTTGATTGTCCACATGTACAAGAAATTTCCATCCAATTGGATAGCCTCGGGCTCTGCAGTCGACGACGCACAAGGCAGGGGCTCATGCACATGCAACAGTCCGGCTGGGCCAGGGGCCAAGATTACCCAGTTGAGGACAGAAGGCGGCGCGGCGAGGGTGGCATTTCTCCGTACACTACAACCCAAGTTGGAAGGGCATGGACGGTGCTGTAATTCACGTTGCGTGAATGGCTCTGTTGTTGCCTAGCTAAGAACAGGGTCGTTCTCTTGACCTAGCCCCCCTGCTGTGGCGGTATTTCCTGTCTTTTTAGCTCCAAGTCAATGGATGACTGGATACCCTATGTTGTCCGTCTGAAGTGCGCCTGCCGATGGCTGAGCTAATTAAGGGCGCGTTACGCGATTGAGTGGCTTGGTTAGCGCAAGAGCGAGTCTCAACTTCGGTCCGACGGTTCTTCGAAGAGTGAGTATCTATCAACGCGTTTGAGACCATTTCAGTTGCGTGCGTTCGCAATGCGGGTCCCAAAGGCCAGGGACGTACCCGCACAGGTGGCAAGTTGAGCATGATCGACCTTGCCAATAGCAGGATATCCACTTGCTATGTACTATTGACAGATCTGTGATGTCATGTGATGGCCCCAATCATTCGCGGCTCCAGCGGAAGAGGATCTTGATTCTGTCGCCGAGGGAGATGTGCGATATTGGTAACCACGAGTCGAGGACAGATGGTTGGGTATCTGACCCTCACCCCACCCCCCTCAGAGGTGCAGATTGATGAAACAAGCGATTTGGGTGTGCTGATACTCTGGAATGAAAACCTGCCGCCGTGATAAGCCAGGGGCCTCGTTAAGGCTTACTACCCCGGCTTTTTCACATATTGAACGACCTGGAAGGGATATCCTCAACTCCGCATTTCGTTACGACATCACCCATCTCATCGTTGTCGACGCGCTCCAGGTCCTCCCCGGGTCCACTTGCGACATGAGTGAGTTCGCCCTAGCTGGTCCGAGGTTGTTTCAAAGAGAGCAAGAACGTAACGTTCGTCGTATTTTTCCATCGTTCCGAAGTGAGGTCTCAGGGCTGGGAATAGCAACAATAACATCCGCCATTCCACCGTGTTCCCACCTCATTTCCCGGGCGGCGGTACGACAGAATTAGCCCCTTCTCATCATGGGTGCACGAGCTGGCGATCAGTCCCATCTTCACGGTTCGACGCTGTTGACAAGCGCTCGAGTGTGCTAGATTCCAGAGCGAGATGGCACCAGCAGGGTTATGTGAATTGCGGGTGGGTGCTTAAGCAATTGTCAAGCGTCAGCATTACCCAACTACATACCGCTGGAATTGCAATGTTTTCGCTCTTGCTGACGCCTTATTTTCCCGTTGATATTCAATTACCTTGATTTGACCTTGGAGTGAATGTTATCCTTCCTGTTCGTGATAATAAAACAAAAGGCTTTGACACCTTGAAAATGGTTATGGAACGAGGGAAATCTCAGCGTCGAGCCACTTCCTTGTGTCCACGTGGTAAATACAACGCGTCTGATTGAGTACTCGAGTTGAGCGCGTCTTTGAACAGACACGCCGTACATCTTCCCGGCCACCGGTGAAGCGTCGGTGTTCTCGAGACTCCAGCTCCTCCGAAAGTGGAAACCAAACTCGTCCTTCGGAAGATCGTTCATGAACGATCACTTCAACGTGTTAATCAAGACGCATCCCCGATGACTCGGCCGTGAAGTTCCAATAAACCATGGACTGCCTCTTTTCGCTTCTGCCTCGAGCAGCGGGCCATTAGCTCTTCCTGTTTCGCAACTGCATCTGTGTGCTACTGGGTACGAGAGATGGCTATGCCCTGTATGGTGTGCCGTTTTATATGATGGAGGAGACTATCCGCCTTTGAACGCCTAGTTAAAGCACTGGGCATAGGTTTCTATAATTAGCTGGTCGGGATGGGGGTGCTTGGGGTTGGGTTTGGGTGGACGGCTATGACTATCAATGTCAGGTGTTATGCGGGATTATCAATCGTGGACGGCGGGTGCAAAGGCTTTCACACCCATACATACCTAGCGAGATGGGAGTATAGGTGTTCAACACGCTCAAAGGGCATTGTGCCTGCCCATTGCGGCTCGTCGCACTTGAAGGAGGAGCCCAACAGGGGACGGACGCGAGTTGGTGGCAGCATGGCGTCGAAGTGAAATTCTCAAATCAAGATTCGAAGCTCAGGTGGGAGATCAGCGAAGTGAGCGAAGTCGGGTGGTTCTTATGGTGTTGCTGCCATGATTGCTAACTACCTAAAATTCGTAACGGTGAAGGTGATGAAGGTGTCGTACTACTCGATTGTTCGATCTTGTCGGCGGACAACTAAGGAGGAGAGGATAAAGTGATGAGGACGGCGAAAGAGAGGATGGAGCAAGAAAGCCAAAATTCGATTACACTTCTGTAGTTGGTGTAGGATAAGATGTCGTGTCGTGTCCAATGATCTAGTTCTACTTCTCCAACCCATCCCTTGCGTTGATGCCTAACAGACCGAGCGAGACAGAAACCGCTGAGACATCAATGCATACGTATGTAACCTGCTGCGATGGCACTGAAAATATTGGTCAGATAACATTAAAAGCATCGCAAATGGACTTGGCAGCACCACAATAACACAGACCAGCAATGGTGCGAAACCTGGCATTCCATTCATTAGTGGCATTGACGACCATTTCTGTCTATCTACTCGGGGAATCAATCATGTCTTATGTGCAAATCGTCATCTCATCTCAGCGTACATCCTAAGCGTTACCCTAGAAACGCCATTTTGTTTGAACCCACTACATCAGCGCCACCGAAACCGCATACACAGGGGACTCCGAGAATCCCAAGTACAAGAGATACCAGAGAGGATCACTCATGAGCTGCGGATCATGCGCACCAGTGCTTCTATGCCCTGGCGAGTGTCGGTCTCGAGCTGGTCCTCAGGAGGGCCCAAGACCTTCTCGAAGACAGACATCAGCTGAGGAGTAAGGGCCTGGATGGTAGGGTTTTGTAGCTCGTCTATCGTTGTACGTTAGCAGTTGGACTGGTGATGGAAATGGGCATGGGATGGACGAGACAACAGTGAGAACCCCATAAATTCTTTGCGGAGTGATGTAGTCGGGCAGCGAACACTTACAGAGCTTCCCAATGCATTCGTACACGGGCTTGTTCTCCTCGAAATCCTCCTTCAATGGCAGCAAACCAACGATGATGGGCAGCACGTCCGCCAGAGGCACCTTGTCGGGGTGCGCCAGAATCATGCGGCATATGCAACCGGTAGCGTTGTCTTGCAGCCTACTTTCACTAATCTGCAAGAGCGGCTCCAACTTGCTTAAGACGGGGACGTACGAAGACAGGTACGTAGCGCTGTCGGTTGAGTGGTAGATGAGCTGACCCACTGCATAAGCGGCGTTCGACTTGGTCTCCTTGTCCTCGTCCGACAGGCGGTGCATCATAGCGGGCAACAATGACTTGGTGTAAGGCGTAACAGCAGCGCCCATGTAGGCGGTACACTCAGCGATGACTCCGACGGCGGTGGAGCGCTCAATCGACTCATTGGATGATACGAGCTTCATGATCGGCTTCTCGAATACCTTCCACACCTCGGCAAACTGAGGACCAAGGGCAGCGGCAAGACCAATAATCACGTCGAGAGCAGTATCGATGACGAGCCAGTCCCACTCGGAAGTACCACCCTGGACGTCGGCCTCCTCCTCCTCATCCCCTAGGTCTTGCTGGCAGGGATGTGCACGAGTGATAATGCAGCCGAGACAGGTAATGGTTTGCTCCATCATGTTCTTCTGGCCGAGAATGGCGGGCCCACATGTCTTCAAGGTAGCGGCGATATTGCGGTTGATTTCAGTAACGACATCCCTGCAATGACTGGTTAGTCCGTTGTCTTCCAATAACAGCTGCAACGGGTGTTTTCATGGAAAGCATGGCTCGGATCAGAAGTAGATTAAACGTGTTCTCAGCAATCGCCAAAGGCGTATGAGTGAGCTGGGTATAACGCAAGTTATTCATCATTTGGAGCTAGTAAGGGGGTGGTGACAGCAGTAAAGCACAATGGTGTAGAACCTCGGCAACAGTGCAGCATGGTATAGAACTGAAGGAAAGGGACACTGGAACAAAAACTGAAATGGAAAAAGGTGAACTTACCGGTCAGACTCATCAGACCACATTTGATGTGTCGCATTGGCAACAACTTCACCAAGCTTGACCACATTAGCGGCCGGCTCGAACTTCAAAGGCAACCCTGCTTCCCATTTCACCCCAGTGTGTTGCTCCATGATCTGCCATACGCATGCGTACGTTCGCCAGAGGGTCGACACTGCAGCCTTGCGGCAGCCTTCGTAGGTGTGCTCGGCCATGGGCGTAATCAGCTCGACCGCCCTTTCAAGGTACGGGGCGCTTTTCTCCTTGGCGTGGGTGATGACATCCCCTAGGACCTCGATGGCGACTTCTTTCTCCATTGCAGCGGCGGAGACTCCAACGATATCATCCCAATCAGAATCGTCGTCGTCGTCATCCATCTCATCTTCATCTTCACCTTCATCGGAAGCCTTAATCTTCATCTTCTTGCCACCAGTGACCATGTCGCCATCAATCAAGCCTTCTATATCTTCGGGCAGCTCAGTGTCTTCCTCCTCGAGCTCAAGACTGTCAAAGAGGCCTTTGAAGATGCCTTCCATGGCGGCACCAAGGTCTCCGTCATAGACTCTAGCGAGTTGACTCCAGAGGATAAAAGTGGTTTCACGGAGGCGAGCGTTACCCAGATCGAGAGCCTTTTCACTGGCTGTCAACAGGGGCATGACGTACGGCTGGAAATCCTCCGCGCCGACACCAACAGCGATGCGGCCCATGGCATCGCATACAGAGCTGCGGAGGGACAGCTCATCCTCGCCACTCTCAGCCATGACGTAGCTAGACATGGCCTCCATGGTATCCTTGAGGTAGGGTTTGAAGGCACTCTCGATGGATAAGGCCACGGCACCAAGCGCGCCAGCAGCAGCAGACTTCACCTTGACGTCCGGGTGATTCAAAAGGCGGCCTACTCTGCTGATGAGTCCCTCAGCGTACTTGTTCATGACCTCAGAGCCGAAGCCCTCAGACATGGTATCAATGGAGCCACAGACGGAGCGAATGATCTCAATGTTCTTCTCGTCATTTTGGTCCTCCGAGGCTGCCTCAAGGTTCTTAACCAGGGCGGTCATGATGGGCTCGTGGTTGGCCTTCATGGTTTCGGCCAAGTCCTCGCCCATTCGCATCAAACTGACCAAGGCGTCGTGGCGGACAGATCGGTTGGAGTCGTTCAACAGCTGAATGACAGTGGGCATCAGGCTCTGGATCTGGGTTGACACGAAGTCCGGCGCTCCCTCTGCGCATACACCAAGTGACATAACCGCCGCGCGTCTGAAGCCTGCATTTTCAGAACTAGCATATTTGGGGAAGTCATCAAGAAGAGGCACGACAACCTGACGCGGTGGCAAATCGGTCGACATCTGATCGATCAACTCCAGCGCGGATCTAGCGGGCGTGATATCGTCATCATCATCATCATCCTCCAATTCGCCGAGAATCATCATGGCTTTCTTGGTCAGCTGCGAGGCCATGTCGGGGATTCCCTGAATCTTCATGCGACGGTATCTGACGCATTGTGTCAGGAAGGCGAGGGCCTGGCTTCGAACCTCCTCATCGGCGTTCTTGTTGGCAGCTAGATCGAGCATAAATTGCAACAGGTCCCGGAAGTACCTGGCCAGCAGAGACGACTCATAGCCCAGGAAAGCCTGGAAGACCTCAAAGGCTTGTCGCGTTCTGTCCTCATCGTGGTTCTCCACGAAGTCCTTGAGAACATCCACCATAGCGGGGACGAACTCCTGGATCGTGGCCGCCGACGCCTCATCCTCTTCGGCGTCGATCAGGAGGAGGACGCAGCTGATGGACAGCATGGTGTTGAGGCGGACATCGCGACTCTGTGGGTCCTTGATGGTCTTGACAAACAACTCGAACAATTTGGGCAGATGCTCAGAGAAATAGGTAGGGTTTGCCTCGAGAAGAGCGAAGATGATATAGGAGCCAACCTCGCGGTGGGCGACGTTGTCCGATGTGGTCAACTGGAAGACGACGGGGAGTAGGTCCGCCCATTCTTCATCCTCGAAGTCAAGTGCAGCGACTGCGGCGATGACTCGCGACAGGGCGTGGCGGACCAAGGCATGCTGCTCGCGGATGACAGCCTGAACGATCTCATTGCGAATGGCAGTCTTCTGGTCGCCATTGATCTTGGCCCAATGCTTCGGCACGAGGCGCAGCGATTGCACAGCGGACAGTTGGCGGACGTTTTCCTCAGGGTGGGAGACAAGGATGTGGAGCAGACCGATCAGGGCGTCGGGGTGAGGGTAATAGTTCCTCTTGAGCTCAGCAGTGGCTGCCTTGACCTTTTGTGTGTCAGCTAGAAGGATTTCGCATGTCAGCTGTCTGGGAATTCCATCAAGTTGAATTACACTGAAGTAACTCACGAATCTGACAGCTCTGAAGGAGCTCGACGAGCTTTTGCTGATCCATGACTACCTGTAGAAGAAATTAAATAGTCGGGATCATCGACCAGGGGGTATCAAAGAAAGAAGGGAAAGTCGTGATAAGAAGCCACGACGGAAGTATTTATGAATAGGGTGAAGTAAAAACTAAGAAAGAAGGGGCGTTGAGAAAAATGGGAATGGGAACTTGAAGCCCGCCCGCCGTGTCTGCCCAATATCAACAGCGTCTGGTGAGAAAAAAAAAAAGTGTGGTGCGGCAGAAATTTCGCAGTGAAATTTTTGGCTGTGTCGCGCTGATAAGATAAGCCAGGTTCACCCCACTAACCTAGACCAAGCCCGCAGGAGGGGTAATTTGGAAGTTGCCGCGGCCCAAGACCCCGTTCCTTGTACCCCCACATTGAGCCCAATTGTTTGAACCAACTTCGAACGCCACAATGTACGGCTTGGATATTTGAACGTGCTTGCGCTCAGCCACAATTTCGACATCAACTTGGACAATACGGAATAGTGTCCATTCTATTGTCGCATTTGAACGTCCACGTCATTGTCAAGACCAATACAAAATTTCCTCGATCGTTTTTGCGTGCTGCTTCTGGCATCTTCGTTAAATACACTGCCATCAACACGAAACTTGCCCAGCCAAGTGCCTCGTCACCATCTCCTCGACACACATTTAGAGGCTACGCGATGTCCGAATTCTGGAAATCCACACCCAAATATTGGTGCAAACACTGCGGTGTCTACGTGCGCGACACCAAGCTCGAGCGCACCAACCATGAGGCAACCGGCAAGCACCAGAGCGCCCTCAAGCGCTTCCTGCGTGATCTGCATCGCGGCCACGAAAACGAAGAGCGCGACAAGGACCGGGCGAAGCGCGAGATCGAGCGGTTGAATGGCCTGGTCGGCTCGAGCAGCGGCGCCGCTGGGAGCGCAGGCAGCGTCAGTAGCAATGCACCAACAGCAGGAAGAATAGCACCGAAAGCTGCTTCAGGAGACGTCACTGCTCAGCGCCAGAAACAGTGGGCGCAATTGGCCCTGATGGGTGTTGACGTTCCGACGGAACTGCGCCCGGACATGGCCATGGCGGGCGAGTGGACAGTCACAAACACGAAGGTTATCGATACTACCCCGAAGACGGAAGCCGACGCCAAGCCGGAGGCAATAGCAATAGGCGTACGCAAACGCGTGAAACGCGAAGGCGAGGATGACGAGGACGACGCGATGCACGGTCTGTCCAAAAGACCAAAGTTGGGTGGATGGGGACTTGACACGAGGCGTGTGCCTGATGAGGAGGAAGACTTGGATTTGCTTCTTGGAAGTTTGGGGCCAGTCAAGAAGCAGGAGTCGGAGCCAGTCAAGAAGGAGAAAGCGGAACTTGCTACCAGTGCTGTCAGTGCTGCCATCAAGAAGGAGTCTTCAGAATCCGAGAACACTGGGGAAAAGGCAGTCAAATTAGAGCCCGGTCTCACAGATGCGGTCTTAGTCAAGGAGGAGGAGATCGCAACACCTGAGATCGAAGTACCGGCTGTCATATTCAAGAAGAGAAAACCGAAAAACATCAGGCAGAAATGAGCTGCCTGCCAGGGTAGGTGTAAGACTGGTTACTGGCCTAGATACCAGGTACGTCATGAATTAACGCCCTGCTGACATTTTATGAATGTGAAGGATGGAATCAAGAACACCTTGTATCCTGAAAATTTCAGCGATGAATATGATTCTCATCGTCGAATTTTCATGAAATTGTGTCTTTGCTGAGGCGTTCGTCCACAGATCCTGTTTCATTCATGCCAAGTGGGATGTAACTTGCAACAATGGGCGGACACGGCCTACTTTGACCGCAGCCGCATCACGCATGTTTTCGCATGGTGACTTGGGCGTTACATTCCCCAGTCCTGCACCTAAGGCCAAACAACACTCGAGTGAGACAAAAATATATGAAGTCAGAGCCGGTAATACATCCCTAAGTAGTTAAGAGTATGTATCAACTGTATGCGTCGAAATAATTATCATTATTATTATTATTAAATACGCCGTAGGCTCGAAGCCCCCGGTACCTCTACTAGTACTCCCGTATGTCAAACCGTGCCCTAATGGCTGGACTAAATACATACGCTGCGTCGTCGGTTCGCCCTATTGGCGACTGCGTTGCGTCCACTACCATACTACGTTGGTTCTCAACCTACCAACAAAGTCCCCCCTGAGAAGATCGATGCTATCTGGGCCTTGAAGCTGTCCGACCCGTCCCTAGCAGCCACCTTACAATAGTCCCACTAACTACTGGTTCTCCTGTTGCCGTTGCGAGGTCTCTGCGAGAGTATAGTGGCCGTGGTGCGATAGCGGCCCGTAATCGTTCTCTCGGTCCTTCCAACAGCCCTCAAAAGAGGATTACGTGCTCTGACGTCTCAGGGGCGTCGCCACAGCGGCATAGCGGCGAGTACACGCCAAAAGCCCCTGTCTTGAATAAGAAGGCTGCTAGTCCTATTTTTTCCGTCCTGATCTGGCACAGCGTAGACGCCTCCAGTCGGTTCAGGCCGAAATACTTGCCCCCTTTCGGTATCTGCATCGAAGGGCCCTCCGGTTCCTCAGCGATAGCGCGTTGCTGGCGATCGTGATGCTCTGCTCCGGTGAGCCATCTCTTCCTCCAGTGGCCAAGGAGGGCAGCCGGGACCTCCTTTTCCTCACTCATCCACTCGGAGCCCCGGGCCTCCTTCTCCATAGTGTACCCTGCCGGTCGGAGTAGCTGCGACGCCTGCTTCCTCTTCGCCGGTCTATCCTGCCGGAGTATATGTGACGGTTTAGCGCTCGCGCTGCGAAGCAGATTTCTCTTCCCGCTAAGCCGTAGCCGTTCTTCAAACTTAGCAGCCCGGGCACTAAGATAGAGGTCTAGTGGCGGGATTGCTGCTTCTGCTTCCAGGTGGCGAAGCGGCATCGCTTTGTGGGCGCCACAGACTACTCGGAGGCACTCGTTCTGTATCCCCATCAGGCTCTTAGCTGGCCCTGCCGGTTCCTCACTTATAGTATGCCACGCAGTCGCCCCGAAGGCGATCGCGCTACGGATAACCACCGTATATAACAGCCTCGCCCGTATAAGATCGCAGCCTCACGACATATTGACTAGCTTTGTCAGGGCTAGCTTTTGAGTTGCCATTTTTGTTTTAACACGCTCAACATGGGCGTGCCACGTCAGTTTGCGGTCGAACCAGACTCCTAGGAACCTCGCTGAGACTACCGGCGACACTGTGGCGTCCCCAAGGCGAATACTTTGCGGCAAGGGCTCTCGGCCCTAGTAAAGTGCATTAGCTCACTCTTGTCAGGAGCGAACTCCATCCCGTGCCTCACTGCCCACCGCTGACAGGTAGCCCATGCGCTCTCCAACCGGCGGCAGGTCGTGTCTGGATCGGTGCCGACGCTTAGCAGGTTCGTGTCGTCCGCGAACCCGACTACTAAAAGTAGTGGGTGCTGCTCCGCTAGCTCCTCTTACAGCGTTGAAATGTATAATATAAACAGTATCGGGGATAGCGGTGACCCCTGGGGGACGCCAGCTCGTAGGGGGATTGGCTCTGACTCCTTGCCATCGAACCGGAGGCGTACCGTCCTATCCTCCACGAAGCTGCGTACCCACTCCTGAACCCACTCCGGGTAGCCTTTCCGGGCTAATATGGAAATCAGCCGTCTGTAATTGACCGTATCGAATGCCCCCTTGATGTCTAGCTGTAGCAGCGAGGCGATGCCCCCGCGTCTCCACGCCGTATAGACCACGTCCTCAACTATACGTATTGCCAGTTCGGTGGACCTCCCAGCGCGGTTACCCATTTGGCCGTTTGGTAGTAGGCCGGCCGCCTCAGCTATTTTGGTGATACGCTGGCTCATCGCCGTCTCTATTACCTTCCCTACCGTGCTAAGCAGGGCAATGGGGCGCCAGCCACCAGGGATCTGCTTCTGAGCTGTCGTTTTATTAGGCTTAGGGATAACAACCACCCTCGCTGAGCGGAAGCGCTCCGGGTAGTACCCCAGCCTAAAGCTAGCTGTTGCCAGATCCGCTAGGATCTCCCATAGGGGTTCACCGCAGGCCTTTAGCAGGCCAGTGGGGATAAGGTCGTCGCCGGGAGCCTTCCAAGCAGCCGTTCCTTTGATGATAGACTCGATATTCATTGTGGTCACCTCCCTAGGGACGTTCAGCTCTGGTCTCGTCTGTAATAGGCCGCGATCGAGGTCCGATAGATCTATACACGGGTCTGGGAAGAACCTCTCAGCTAGTAATTTTGCCTTCTCATCATGTGTACGTGCCATAAGCGTGTCGCCGGCGTCCCTCCGGAGATCTGGCAACCCGTGGGCCTCAGGGGGGGCCCAGCTCCGTAGCCTAGCCCACCTCTGCAGTGCCCACAGGCTTTTGTGATCCTTCGCCGTCCCCTCGAGCTTCTCGTGCCAGCTACGCGTCTGCGCTTCGCTGATTTGGAGCCGTTGTTTTTGGCCGGCTCTTGTATATTCGTCCCAGTTGGTCTGCGACCTTGCCTGGAGGTAGTCCCGCCGTCGTCTCTTCGTCTCAGCGCAAGCCTTGCTAACCTGCGGGCACCACCACGGGACCCCAGCGCCTCGGCCAACGGTGCGTCTCGGGACCGCCATGTCGGCGATCTCTTGGAGGTTCCGGATAACCCAGTCAACAGCCTGGTCCAACTGCGTTATCGTCTCAACCGGCAAATAATTCATAAATCTCTGGCTTGATTTGGCTACGATGAGCCACTTATCCGCCATCGCCCAGTTTCACTCTTCGACACTGTGGCGGCCCTCCTTGACTGCTTCCCCGTTGGATATTACCCTAATCACTTGCGCTCTGTGGTCTGAGCCCTCTAGGCCCGGGTCCCCATCGTAATCAATCCTAGCCCCTTTCGTCACCCAGGCTAGGTCGATAGTTGAGTCTCGTTATTTGTGCCTATGCCGTGTGATTTCCCCGAACGGCGTAACGAGCTCTAATCGCCAGCGTCGCGCAAACTCCACTACGTTGTCGCTGCCCCGTGACGACCGTCCGTGGACGTCCCACAGCGGGTGATGTGTATTGAAGTCCCCTACGAGGACCTGTGTCCCCTCCGGCGCCCCATTAGGGAGGTCGAAATAATTAAATGGATTCAAACTCGACATTATTCTTTCTCGTCATAAATTTTAAGATTTAGGCAGTCATTGAGTAATGCATACAGAACCCTTAGCAGTAGATATCAGTACAGCCAGAACCGATATTGCTGTCCGCCTCACTTCGGTGCCGCGATCCCAGGATAGCACCCAACACCCAAAACATGTTCTCTCATCCAACAACCAATTACCGACAATGCAAACGAGTAATTAAGGCAGGCGGCTATTTTTGTCCGTGATTGTCCATTTTGTACACGAACCAATTGATCAACGTATACATGAATCTCCCCTCGTATTATCAAATTTCCCTTCATTTCCCGGCTGTGAGTTCCTGACGCTCTCGTTATTTTAAGATGTAGTCCCTGGAGAGGCCCGTTGATCCCTTGATCCCATCGGGAAAGGCATGATCAAAGAATGGATGTCAGGATATGCCCCAGATCAAACGACATTAGAAGTAGTTGTGAGACAGGTAAAAGCCGTGATATCTAAACTGAGGCAAATTCTTCTGACGTAAGTGAAGTAAGCTTCGATTGAGTTTTGGTTTCCTGTAATTACCATAACGGAGTCATAATAACGAAAGTTTCTGGGTACATGTGTTCTTTCCCTCCCCTTGAATACGGCCTAATTATTACTCGCTCTGGAGCTTATCCGCAGTCTGGTCGAGCTAGATAATCGAGACCACTATGAATGGAATAATAACGGCTGGCTTACTTAGTGTCTGCATACTTCATACTGTACGTTCCCTGATACCGTTCAAGCACTCTGGCTTTATGTGTGTATAGACTAGCCACACAGATGACCAGGACCAGGGAGCACCGATCTAACTCTGTGGTGATAAGTAAATTCAACGGAATTCAATTCTTGCGGCTTTTATAAGATGCCATAATCCTCAGCGACCTATACATTCGAAGCTTATTCAGGAAGTCTATGGAAGAAATATGTATGCCCGGGATCCAACAGGTGTATCTAGATCAGCTTGTTCAAGCGGCGGCCTATCGGCGAATCATGAATGAGTATATGAGATTGGCTAGGCTTCACTTTGGTATTGACGACCTGGAATCTTCACCTAGAAAGTTGGAGGCCCGATGGAATCACTGGAGGGATCGATTCACTTGCTTGGCTGATCACGAGAAGATTGGGGACGACCCGCAGGCGGCAGCGAGACACATTTGAGCAAATATTTGTAAAATGGAGTGGGTTTATGAGGGAGTGTTGCATTTGGTGGGTGATGCTGGAGAGAGAAAACGGGTGTTCTAGCATATAAATCAGATAAAAGGTAATTGAAGGAACAAGGGCTCAATAATACGACCTCTGTGAGCACCTACAAGTATGCCCAATCACCGATAAACAACTGTTCTTTCTACAATTAACTATTGTCAAAGAAGAAAGCTGCACTCAGTAATGGCTCAATTGATTGAAATCTGTGGACCACGAACCCCTTGACTTAGATCAGCTGCCCAAGTCCATAGTAAACGCCCATCTTCATCACAAGCGGCATCCAACCAGATAAACTTGTCAAGGACGAGCTTGGCGTCTTCCCAGCTTTCAACGTTCAAGGCATCTCGAAATTCACGAATCTTGTCGGTGAAATTTGCAACCATGCTTCCACTATGATCCCACGAGTCTGCCCCTATACCCCCAATCACGGCAGCCCATAAGAGGAACTCGGTCGCATGTACCCGTGTATACCGCACCCGCTTAAGTGCATACGAAAGCATCTCCGTGGCCTTGCGCAGGGGCCTGGGCTGGGGAAGAGGGTATGTAACCCCATACGTGAATACTAAAGCCGCCAGCCGACATATTTCTACGGCGTCGCGCTCATGCGGCAGGCTCAGCAGCCTGTGTTGTACAATGTCTCGGGAGTACAGCAGTAATCCAGTGGACTCCGGATGGTGAAGCCTTTGCTCAATGAGACGGCAACATAGTCGCAGGTCTAGCAGGATTTCCTTGAAGTCATCATCGACATTGAAGGCTGCGACTTCATTGGAATCGGGTCGCAGGGCGGGTAACTCTTGGTTGAGGACGTATTGGTACGAGTTGCAAAGGTCAAACTGCATTTAGTCAGTATTTCATGGCGACGTCGTGGTCACTTCAAGGCACATACCAATGGACGTTCCAGGTTCCAGCTCGCCTTGATCAACAGCATTCGCATCATGACCTCGCCAATACCAGGGGTATGCACCATCTTTATGCCCCCATGCCCCCTCAGAAGTCCCTCAAAAATGCTGTGGTGGCGATCCGCGAATTGAAAATGACCATTCACATCCAGGCCATTGAGTTTCTCGATACCAACACTTCTGAAAAGGCCCCTCCTCGTTGACAACTCGTGGGGAAGGTGATCCAGGGCCTTCAATGCTAGGTACTGGATTGACACGATCACGACATCGGACACCTGCCCAGCCGATAAAGCCTTCCGTACACTCCTTAGGACCCTGTTTTGCGCCGTGCACAATGCTTGCACGTCTCCCAGATCACATGTCGACCGCAGACGGTACGTGGCCATGGCGGACACGGCCGTGTCGAGGTACAACGGGTCAGCAATCTGGGCATGGAACACGGCGCAACTGAGGGAATCTTGGGTTGGAAAGGTCCTGTTAGGGTAAGTCGGCCAGAGAACCGTGTATACTACCAGTAATGGTGTCAGGTCTTCCTTATCAAGTGAATCCACGAGCATAACTTACACAAGTGAAATAACCTGCGGACATGGTAGTCCTCCAAGGATGGGGACAGTCCTCGGAGATAATTGATTGGCCGGGATGGTTGGAAAACAACAGCGACTTTATCATATGTTTTAGTTACAATTCTTTCTTTCTCTTCTCCGCTGCTGTCTACTTCGCGGCTTTTTTCTTCTGAATGACGTTCATGGCATCGTTGCGGCTCCTGCGGGCAATAGGCCATGGCGATAGCTGCGTTTTGCTGTTCCCGTTTGCGCTGTCCTGGTCTCTGTCAGCCATGAGCTGAGTGACTGGGAACTAATCAGTGGGACATAGTACTTGACGCTCGCTTGTTCAGTCTGTTCTGTACTATTCGCCGCTGTCTTGCATCAGCCCAGCCAGACCAGTTCTCGTCTTCGGCTTCCATCAACGCGAGACTGGTGGCCGATCTTCGCACACATTGGGGTTCGAAGGTCATGGCTGCGAGACAATGATTGGTCTTCAAACGGATGGAATCTTCATAGCTTAAGTTGTTCTAGGAATACCATGATACGTTCTTCCTTGGTATTTTAGTCACGTATGGGATTGCGTATCCTTCGAACCCGTTGAATCCAGCCATTAATAAATCTTATGTCACGCGACCTATTGTGCCCTAGGCTTTGGTAATGCCGATCCCCGAAGACTAGCTTCTAGGCGTGTTCTTTGTACCAATGTGACTTAGCGTGGGCAACTCCCCGCTTGACCAGTACCTATTCTGACAATAGAAGATGTGAATTGTTCATAGAAGGTTTCAGTATTTACAAACATTCAAGTAAATTAGTCAAGTAAGCTGAAGTATATAGAATTTGTGGTCGCATGCTGAATTTGTCTCCAGAATGGAAACTGAATTACACGATTACTGCTATTCGTATCTTAACCTAGGGAAGCTCGCCATACACGATAAATGAGACCAGTCAATTTCACGATGGTACGATGATACAATGATAAAATAACACATAGTTCTCTACAAGAGAGGTGTCACAGACCCTCATAGTAATAAACTTGCTAGTAGTACTTGATCAAACCAAAATACTAGAACAGCGCACTTAAATCATTCTCTATAACTAGAACTATATTAGGCTCGTAGAAAGTTACGCACTTATTTAGTGGTACGTATCCTAATCCATTCAAAGCTTCAGAATTTCTTCACTGACCTTCTCCGCAGCGACAACAATGGCAGCCTGCGGATTGCTAGTTACGATTCCGTTGATGATGCCTGCATCGATTACATGCAGATTGGAAGTCCCGTAGACTTGGGCATTGAGGTCCACCACAGATTTACCTCCGTCCAGCGCCGAGTCTACCCCGAGATGTGTGGTGCCCACCCAGTGGTTTGCGGTACGGTCAAGATTCACGGGGATCTAGGTAGAGGGGCCGAATTAGACATGCCTCGTTCATTGCAGGACACAAGTTTCTCACTACTCACGCTTGAAATATACTCGCGCACATCTTGGCCCGGTGCTGGGTTAATGAGTGTCGCGTTCGGGATGGAGCTGACCGCGTCAACGACGGTTGTCACTGTTGAAACGACGGCCTCGAAGTCAAAGTTTTCCGGGTCTCTGAAGTATGGCAGAGTGCTTACGTCCATAACCAGTGACGAGTTGATGGTGACGCGTCCACGCGAAAGCTTACCGAGGCCTAAGGCTGCGGCGATGCCCGTGGTATCTACGTGTATGAGTGCTTGAGTTGAATGGTGCGTTTATAGACTTGGAACAGAACATACTGTACTCTGATCCTCCCTGCGGTCCCCCGATGTATGCTGTCCATTGGAAATACCTAGTAATACCATCTTGCGCTTTGACGCCTTCCCAGAAGATGGGGTTGATGTTTGGTGCGGCCTGGGTCAGAATGTCAGATCGGTTTGCTGTTTCCTGTCAGTCATGGGTGATCGTTAGGGGGTCAATTCACAGACCAAGATACTTCTCCGCATCCTCTGGGACGGGTTTGTCATATGCAGCATTGAAGTCATAGTTTACAATGTCGGGATGTTCAAACAAGATGTTTGTCTGACAACAATCAGCCAGGTTTCAACGCAGGGGTTTTGTTACCCACGTTCAGATGGTCGTCCAGATCGTATCCAACGGGAAGATTGATCCACTGAGATGCATCGATCAAGTTATCTCCATCGGCTTCTCTAACAATATCAAGCTGATCGGTTGGGCCAATGCCACCTATACTCGATTAGTTGTGCTCTCATCAAAAGAAATTATGTCTCACTTCTGAACAAGATCTTAGCCGTGCCAAAAACACCTGCAGACAGAATGACGCGACCGCCCGCGGCTAGACTGGCGGTCCCATTGTGCCCCCATCTCCGTAGGGTTCGACTTGAATTCCCGTCACGACACCGCCATCTCGTTCCAGGCGTTTAACGGAAGTCTTTGTCCAGAGTTCGAAGTTATTCCTTGAGGCGGCAGAAACTAGATATGTTTCCATGGGCCCACCTCGTTCCCCATGAAGAAAAAAGTACTCTGAGAAGGAGAAAGTTCGGTTCTTCGCATCGGGCTTATTGTTGGCGGTTACGTTCTCCCATCCGTTGTCCTCCAGTGCCCCCGCTATCAGCTCGTATCCCTCCGAATTATATAGAATGCCATCGGAAGACGGATGATCGGTCCAAGGGAGGCGACTGAAGGCTCTCTTCGTGGCAGCTTCCATATCCTGTGCCTTCCACCCAACAGGGTAGTGCAGGTCCCAATCAAGGCTTTGCGGCTACAGCAACTTTTAGTAATCTATTCTCTCAGCTGCGACTTGGGGAAATTTTACCTTCCACCACAGGCCAGCATTGATGGCTGTACCGCCACCAAGAATGCAACCAGCCATGGGAACAACATTGGGACATTTAATCCCTGTGCTGTCCTCCCATATGAGGTTATACAGCCCCGGGACATCACAACGTGTCAGATTCTTGTTTTCTAGCCAAGCGCCCCTGCGTCCTGGCTACAAATCAGCACTTCTCATGGTTCACCCGCAGGCACTGGCACCATGTTGTGATTACTCACTTCCACCCCATCTATACGATGATGGGAAGCCCCTCTCGACGAGAAGAACTCTCTTGCCACTAACAGAAAGCTTGTCCACCGTTACAATCCCTCCTGCTCCAGCACCGACTACGATGTAGTCGTAGGAATCAGCAGCGACAACGAAAACCGTGGCCGACACTGGTGGACCTATCAGCAAGGTTTAACAAAGTCAAGTGCGGACATCCTTACAATACGAGACAATAAGGGCTACAAGGCCTTGAACGCCGTGAAGTCTCATCTTGGAAGTATCTTGCTAACTACTCTAGCAACTATAATGAGTATCTTCCGTAAATAATATGGATGCTGCGGTGGGCCTTATATGCAAGGGGCACCAGGTAAAATAAAGGTTTAGGACAGTCATAGAAGGGTACAATCGTGATTATGTATCACGGGAGATATTTGAAGTCATGTTACGTAAGAAAGAAAAGACACCATCGAAATGGTCGCGTCTGGATAGGCCTCACAAAAGGGTGCCGACATGAGGGGAGGGAATATTACCTTCTTGAGCCAGTCGTAATATATTAACACATTCTGATAGAGTTCAGATGGCAATCACAATGCAAAATTCGTATAGTTCATTACATAACGTTATGGTTCCATTGCTTGGAAGGATTAAAGGATTCGGCTTGGCAGTGACTACCTGCCGGACTCGTAAAGCTTGACCAACGAATGGTCGGCTTTGATCTCCAGCTGATGACGCAATTTTCTCAGCGCCAGAGGTTTATAGCCACCATAATGGGGATTTATGCTTAATATGGTGAAGGTGCCGCGATGTTACTTCCTTCGTAGAGTGCCAAAACACCACCAACCGCAGTCCCAGTTAGGGGAGACCAGCACTAATCAGGGAGAAAACGTTTTGTAGAAGGTGTTAGAGGCTTGCAGAAGACGCCCAGGACCCAGAGAGACTGACGCGAATTTCAAAATCAATCCTGGTAATGAGTGGCAAATAACTCATGAAGGTGGAGCAGAACCAGCTCGCCATACACCAAAGTTTTCTTTTAGACAACTAACCGATGTGAAATATTTATTAGTACTGGTTTTCAATACTGCAGCCACTTGATTGACATTTTGTACACATCCGACACCCTATATCGCACCACAAACCCCGCCCAGGTCCATAGGAGAAGGCATAGTACTGGGATTAAGTCATAGATTCGCCCAAATGATGTGTCTTATTAAGGAGGTGGACGTCAGGCGTACTGGCTTACCCACAGAATGGACCGGTTGCCAGTACTCATCAAGGAGCAACTTGTCTGTACACCATTATCCACATGATCACAGGGGCACATTTACACTTACCGTTCAAGGCACAGGCGTGCTCAGCATCGCGCTTTGTCTGGTAGAAGCATGCCTTGCCGTGGTGGTATTCCTTGTCGAGTTCTTCAGAGGGCGTATTTTCAGAGGTCCTAGTGATCCCTGCAGAAATGCTCATTGTGTCCTGTCGGTTTGTAATCGATCGAGAAAACGGGCTAGTAGCAGGATTGATGGTACTGGTGGTTACCGATCTTGACATTTGGATCGATGGAGCAGAACTTGTAGAGTCCGTCGTGATTTGTGCCGTCGAATGTTGCTTTGCTGTGATCAGTTCAGTGGTTGTAGGGCTCAGAGATGGTGATGACTGCGTCAATGAAGCAGAACTTGTAGAAGCCGTTGTGGTTTGTGTTTTCCCTTGTTGCGATGTCACAATAACGTGGTTTAACACCGAGTCGCGCATATCACCGAGTCGCGCACTTTTTACCACACTATAATTTCAAGTTCAATTAAAAAGCCACAACAGACTAAAGTTTATTGAAATTTATTCAGAGCTATATGCATCTGACAATTATAGTTCGACCTGACAAGTCTTTACATTATGTCCGGTCTTCTTACACTTACTACATCGTCGTACAGTCGACGGACCAGCCTTTTCTTTACCCCCCCTAGAGCGCTTGTCCTCCTTTACCTGGGCCTCCGCGTCCTTCCAGGCCAAAATGTCCAGGGCATCCTCGACAGTAAGTGCACCTCCTTGCCGGACACGCGATCTTTTTGCCCTCCGACGCTTGCTTAGTGCCTCATTTGCCTTGCGAAGGGTGGAGCACTCAGCCTTCAAGAGGGTATTCTCATGGGCTAATCGAGTTATACCCTTCGCAAGGTGGCCAACAGCATCAAAAATTGGGGTAGGAGAGCTTCCCTGATGTCTGGCGATTCGGCGATTGACAAAATCGGACTGCGAGAGAGCCTATGTCGGGTTATTTGGCGTTTGCGAAACCCAAGGGTCAGCATCTGGAAGAGAGGGGCTAACGGGTGTAGGCGACCGAATCCTAACATCCAGCTTCGAGATAATGGCTTCAGGGTCGTGGGGACTAGGCCGGCCCCTCGAAACCCTGCCTTGATGTTTTTGTCGGTTATTGTCTTTAAATAAGCCTCCTTAAAGGCGATAAAGAACTCGACCTTAGTAATGTGGTTAATATGGGACTTGATAAATATATCAATCTCTCGACCGTATATACGTTTCAAGACCCCAAAGCACCCGACATCAAGTGGCTGGGTTAGATGAGACGAGTGCGGGGGCAGACTGATAGTAATAATGCCGTTAGACTTGCAATAAGACTCGAAACCGGCCGATGTATGACTCTCATGCCCGTCCAATACTAACAGCCGATACACGCCTCTTTTGGTCGAGATAGTGTGCTTGTTGAAATGTTTGATCCAGTCTAGACCAGTCTCGTTGTTCGTCCACCCGTTTTCGGTCGGTTTGACTACCCAATCAGCTGGTAGGTCCCCCTCAGTATACCAATTAGCAAGGTGATAGTTCCCTTGAATTACCAGAAATGGCGGGATGTCGCGACCCTCCGAATTGACACAGGTAATCGCCGTGGCCCATTCCGTTCAGACGAGGTAACGACCATCGAGCGTTGAATAACGCCCATCATAAAGCCCGTCTCGTCGAAGTTCCACATATCGCAGTCCTGGATCCCGTATTTGGCCCTCATATTCGATACAAGCCGGAACCAGTCCTCAATAATCTTTGGATCCTCGCAGAGGGCCCTCTGGAAGTCATACGAGCGAGAAAAACGCGTCTGTAACTCTGGGGTTCGCTTTACAAAGCGATGCGCCCAGAGCTTGCCGACGCGTCGGGTACCCCGCGTCGCAAGAATGGAATTGGCCATATCTTCCACACCCTTTAGCCGGGGAGGAAACCCTCTCAAATCTAGGTCAAGTACATGCTGAACAATAGCTCTTTCCTCTATCTTGGCGAGTAGTGCGCTATTCGGCCAGATTTCGGTACGTGGGGTGCGACCGTGGATTCTGTCACGGAGTGAGGACTCGGGTACACCGTATAGCTTTTCTGCTCGACGTTGGCTCATATTTTTGGTCGATCGGATAGCTTCGATGGCAAGGTTGATTTTGGCTTCTTGGGTTTGAACTGACATGGTGTTGTTGTTGAGGAAATAAGTGTTGAAGTCAAAAGGTTGGAAAAGTTGAAAAAGTGCGCGACTCGGTGATATGCGCGACTCGGTGTTAAACCACGTTAACTCTAGTAATGATTGGATGGATCAGAGAGCTTGTTCAGCTGGTTCGAGATGAAGTACTGGGTGGAAGTTGTTCCGTTGTGTTGACTGGTGAACGTGTGGGACAAATGGCTAGTGGCAGTATCTATAGTAATGGCGGGAAGTGGGTCAATGACTGCGTCGATGATACATGCCTACGCTTTTTTTTATCTTACTTTTTCCCTGCGATAGCATGACGAGGCAACTTGTCCTTGCTGCTTGGAGTTTCTTAACCACCAGTTTGGAAATAACGGTCGCGAATATTATTACCGGAACCACCATCACTATGATAAAATGCCCATATGATCCTACAGCAGGTGAAACATAGTCTGCGAAGTTGCCATGTTTTTGACGACATTTACTACGAAATCTGTTGCGTGCCTCAGGCACACCAAATGTGTGCTGGATGCAGCACTCAAGCCAGCTGCCTATAGATAGTTCTTCCGTAGCTGCAGACTCGTGGGACTTAGTCCAACTATCATCATCACCAATACAAGTCTCTTGCCTATATTGCCCACAGAATGGCGTTTAGTCTGGGCATGACTGCTCTATCTTCCCCAAATCATTTCCCGGTGGAAAGTCTCCTACCCCTAGAGGCCCGGCCAGGTCGATCCTTATTGAATTTCATGCGGTGTTCTGACAGAGTCAAGTTCATTGCGAGTTGCGTGGATGATATCTTCCCTATATGTGTCCGATGGTGGCGAGACAGGTCGCATTAATCCGAAGTGGCAAGTCCCCAGAGTGGTGATGGCTTGTGAGCCGTTAGTGGACGAGTGTAGTGAGAAGAAAACGCAGCACTCTACGCGGTTAGAGGATTTTTGATTACTGCGGCTACTTTAGTTAACCTGCTTGTGACTTGGAGAGATAATTTCCATGAGGATGCAGAGGTGTAAGACTGTTTGTACCCGTATGACCAAGAGAGGTCGGCAAAATCGATCCCGTGGCACTCATCTAAGTATACTGGAGTGCACAGAAATGTAGCAATGTGCGTTTATTTCTAAATATAGAGATATATAACTAGTCAGAGAGTTGGAAATTTTGGCTTCATACCGTATTCGCCTCCTGATGCGGAGTCTACTTTGCTACCCACGGCCTCAGTGGCGAGATTTTACAGGTAGCCAACAGGCCGACATTATGTTTGCTCTACCTGCATTGGTGATATTAGCGATGTTTGCCAACTCATCTGGTTGGTGATATAAGAAGATGTGTCCTAAGATCGCCAGGTACTTCGTAGCGAGGTGAATGCTCGACATGGCGCCCTCTTTGCAAAGCCTCTGCTACAATGACTTGGATGTACGTTGCCGTGGCAGTGTACTTCGGAAGTGCTGGAGAATCTTTCCGAGATTACATGCAAGTAACAACAACTGTGCCTCTTCCTATCTCACCTTTGTTAGGAACATGACGCAGCTTGGCAACTTGCTACCACATGCACATGGTTGCAAAGTTATGAAGTATTCAGTTGATTGATCTTCATTTCTACATTCAAGTAGACACACCTGAATGAACCAAGCTTATTTGCATGACGATGCTGTTATGACATGTGGCGCCTTTCGAGCCCTGCGTTTGCAGCAACATGGCCGAGGACTCTGCACAGTAAGCGACCACTTCCACTTCCACTTCCGGAATAACGGTTCTGCCTGCTCAAATCCCGACCCCTTGTCAGCGATTAGGTACCTGTAAATAAACGACGCGCTGCGACGAAAGGCATCATACCCTCGAAAGACTCGACCGAGGATGCAGATGTCCTCGTCAATCTTCAGGGGCCGCTCGTGGTGTAAGCGGTCCTCCTAGTACAATCTTTTGGCAAATGACGCATGGTGCGCCTGAAGGCAAGCACACCACCAGCACGAAAAGCCTCAGCGGTATGTCTTCCGAAATTGTTTCGCGACAGGCCTGCTTGAAGAGCAAAACTCATGTGCCGTCTATCATGTTGGACCTTCAAGGCTACTCCATCAAGACTGTCAAGTCAAGGAGAAAAGTAAAGCCGCAAACCATACGAAGTATGAGTCAATATGACCTCTACCCATTGAACCACACAAGTCCTGGCTGTGGGGCAGGCATCAGTCATTTCTGTCTATATAAGGCCCCTATGGCCGCCATTCACTTCTCTCAGGACTCTCCAGAGATCATGAAACTTTCAATACAAGACCATTTGCCCACAATCCAATATATCACTCCAAGTGCATTCCTCTACCCGATGAGTTCGCAGAAGTTGCAGGCTCAGCGACGTGGTGTGCCGTCGCTCAATTTGAGGCTTCAACCGGGGGCTATGCAGAAATCAAAAGACGTAGTGAACATAAAAGACACGCGACATAACATCAAATCGAACCCTCTGAGGGCGCGGCAGCTTAGCAATGATGAAGTACGACCTCACTCTCCGTGGGGAACCGAGGTGATCGAACAGGAGGAGACTTTAGACCATATCACCACCACTAATAACAGATCCATGTAGGGGCATCATCCCACTGTCCGCCTTCTCCAGAAGAAGAAGGCGGCTGAAAGGAAAGGTCTGGGTCTCAACATGGACAAGAGCTCCGAGCTCGCGGGCAACTTGCCTAATCCCACCAAGTCCCCACGTTCTTTCAGATTAGGTTTTCTTCTTCCGACAAACATCTACCAAGGCGGGAATGGATCCAAACGCAGCATACCTGGCGGCGAGAAACTTGAGTCGGTTGCTTTGTCGCCCCAGCTTACCCCCACAACCAATGCCGCCTGCCCAGCAACGTTTTGGCACCAATTCCAAGTACCTCCACGGAAACACGGTATTTTTCCTAGGTAGAAGGTTACAGACCACAAGAGACCATCCCATGAGCATCGCAACAGGCTTCTCTATTGTACTCCCCGCCGTGCTATTTTTCATATTCTCGGCACCTTGGCTCTGGCACAACATCTCCCCTTTTGTTCCACTGATTTTAGCCTACATCTTTTATATTTGCATCTCGTCATTCCTACACACTTCTGCATCTGATCTTGGGGTAATTGCATCCGACCGCCTTTTGGAAAAGAGTTGTACCAAAAATTTCCCCAGATTCTACCCCGAAATATCCACAACCCTTTTGCTCCTGAAAATCAAGGTCACCTGGTATTAACGACACCCAGTACCGACTGGACCCTGATTAAGTCGGCAGAATCTTCGACGGGCTTCATGGAAATTTCGACCAAATACTGCAAGACGTGTCATATCTGGCGGCCTCCACGTGCCCATCATTCTCGCCTCTGTGATAATTGTTTCCAGATAACCGACCACCATTGCGTTTGGATTAACAACTGGCCGCCGAAACTACCGCTGATTCTTTGCATTTCTTTCGTCGGGCGAAAATCAGTGCCGTTTACCTCACCGGAGCATCTCTGATACATATACTAGTCTATATGAATAAGGAGAACATCTCATTCGGCCATGCTATCGATAAATTTCGTGTCCCCTTTACTCGTCGGGCTCATGTACACGGCGGCTCTTACAGCGTACCACGTTTTCCTGATGGCGTGTGGCGAGACTACACGAGAGTTTCTGAACTCTCACAATATCCCCCGGAATGAGCGATAAAGGGCCGTTACCCAAGGTAACTGGATGAAAGACTCCAAAATGATCCCTGAATATTACCCCTCATCTATCTAGCACGAAATATTGCCAGGCGCTTACGAAGTAAATGCCTCAAACAGCTCTAGGATTCGTAACCTTGCAATATCGGCCCCGACTTCCTTCCCAAAAGAAAACAACCAAAAAGAACCCCCAATCTCTCCAATAAGCTTGCGTACAGTGCTGCTCTGTCGCACCCCGTCAACGGACTGGGTCGTCTTCCGTAGTGTGCTTGCGAGGGAGAGCAATAGGATCAAGACGACAAACCCATTAACTGTTTGCTAATTTCGTGCTGTGGCATGAACAGCAGCGAGTTGCTACCGTATAGACAAAAGTCAAAGGAAGAGGCGATGGTGCGCGTCGTCTGACATTCGGGAGGAATGCGTGTCCACAATAGTCGCATATTCCCATTAGTTGGAGCCATTGTGATATCATCAATATCATCATCGTTCTTATATTATTTGACAGTCTTTTATTGTTGCATTGACAGGGGAAGAAGAGCAGTGGTGATTGTGGCTACCCCTCGGTCCCGGATCATCTTGTACTTACTATACTAATAGATTTGTTGTTGGCGCTGGATCAAAACCAAAACACTGGAATGAAGGAACTGTAATATTCGTTGAGGCCGGGAGTGATTATCCTCTTTTAGTCAGCCACACGTGGGTTAGTGCGAGGAACCTGTCGAGAAGGCGCAGCTACTCGTCAAACAGGCTATAAAAGGCTTCGTGCGGAGTGTAAGGCGGCCTGCAGCGCATATCAAGGTGTAATTGGAATTGCTTGCACTGAGACACTGGTATGTCTCTTTGATGATCGTGGCCTGCGCTGACTGGCATTCGCGTTGTTGGTGATCAGTCTCCTGAGCCCTAGTTTTGACGGTTGAATGCTCACGCACGCAGGTGAAGCCGTGCAGCAAGGGAAGAGTCCTGGGGAAATAGGAGGTTCACTTGGCTGCCCGAAGGAGAGGTGCTTCTCAAGTTTACCCAATTTCTCCTAGTGCTGCCACCGCGATGGATGTTCGACAAATGAATTTTACCGCAAACAATCCGAGCAAGTTTAATGCTCAGTTTTGATGCTAATATATGTGTACTCGGTCAACCAGATTTGTCCTTCCTCCACCGAAGGCCGACAAGTTAATATGCGAGGTCGTGCCCTTGGTACTTAAGCGTATCCCCGAGATAATCTAGCCGTTGGTCTGCAATCCGACGTCAATCCTGATCCCAGCGCGTCGCAAAGGATAACGAAACCATTGCGATATCCGCTCTGAATCAGTAACTGGCTTGAGACAAATATGTCAAATGGCTCAAGCGACGCTTGGTGGTTAAACATGCAATAATCAATCTTGCACCTCTTTTTGGGCCATTTCGCAATGGTGGAAAGTCACATAGCTCCCTTCGCAACTATCAAAATAGTTCGCATCATGGTCTCGCCATCAGAGGGTTGGATACATGCCAGAGCGATTCAGGAGGTGGCAGTAACATGATCGGCTTGCCATTTGTAAACCCCTTGTTAGGCTTCTGACCGTATGTAAGGTTAAAAAAGAGCCGTTCTCGCTCGCATCGAGCGGTACATACAGTGTACCATACGGCGGTTCTTTTGTAGGGGTCCTGCGTAGCGTATCTCGAACGCAGCCAGTCAGCTCCAGGCCGACGCCATGGAATTAACACAAGATCACCATAAACATACGTTTATTTAGACAATCTGTCCTTTTCCCCCTCGCAACTAGGCGCTCTACAAGCACAAAATTGGAGACAACTAGGACCTGATCACCTTCCTTTATTGCCGGCACTTCTGATAAATGGTTCCAACGGAAAGACGGAGGCCTCAGGCGTCACACCCTCGTAAAGCTGATCCCATCGATACTTTAACACTTCCGGGGTCTGCCATGCATTCTCTGGATCTCGCAGCCAGAAGCGCATGAGATGACGTCTACCAAACTCTGTTAATGTTGTCCAACTAAAGATACCGAATGAGGTAGATACTTACTGATGTTCCTCGGTGTCGGTAAATCCGTCCCTGGCATGAAAGAGGGCGAGGTTGTTGACGTATTGGATGTCGCCCTTCTGGAAATTGGTATTCAGAGAGAACTTGTCACCGAGAAAGTGCAGAGTATCCAAAGCTTCGGCCTGAGCCTCGGTGATAGGAGGGATGTTATGACTGCGAGGAAGAGCTCCAAATCCGACGAAGTATCGACGACCATATTGCAAGGCCACTCGGTGCGGTGTGGACTCCGTGGCGGGGAAGTTGTAGAGCAGCGGCCTTTCCGTCCATTGCTTGTCTGCCTTTTCGAAGCTGTATAAATGAGTCAATGGCATGGATCAAGCAAAGTGGCATGATAGCCGATGAGGAGACTCACTTCTCCATATCCCAAGGTTGAGACAAGGTATGGATCAGATCAGGCCGGGTCCGCGCAATCTCATTATATACCCTCCACGTGCTCGCCAGCCTACTAGCACCACCGGAACTAGCCGTCTCAAGGGCGAAAAGTGAGACGATGTCTCCCGAGTCTGTGTGGAAGACCTGCTTGTCCGTCGTATAAGCGGGACTTCCGATGATTTTATTGAGTTTCGTCGCGGTCAAATTCTTGATATGGGTCAAAACAACATCGGCGGGCTTTCCATCGAACTTATGGTCCTGTCGGCCGCGCTGAGGAGCAATGTGCGCGGAAAGGCCGGCGTAAATAATGATGTTGTCTTCGCGTGAGTGCTCATCGACGCGCAAGCCCCGGATTACAAAGAAGCCATGGCCATTGTGCAGCTCGTCAGACAGACGGCGTAACTGCGAGTGAAGCTTGGGGAGTGGGAATGTCTCGGGCGTAATGTGGCCAAAAGAAATTCCAAGAGCTGCAAAGGCATTAGTCTCACCCAGATGACAATCCCGCGCTTCAAAGGGGGCATACCCTTGAAATGCTCTACGGCGCGGTCAATTTCGGCCAACTGGTCGTCACTGAGGACATAGGTCCAATCATAAGTCTCAGCGATGGTCTGGCCTTCCCAAACCATATTTCCGGTTAACTGCTCCGGAAAGCCATCCGGAACGCTGGTGGGCAAGTTACCGGCTGCCAAGCGCCGAGCGGCACGGGCTTGCCACTTGTCATAGTCCGGGGCATACTCAATATCAGGCTGGCCGGGCGGCGCCGGAGCTTTCGGGGTGACAAAAGTTACGGTCTGGGTCGTCGACATGGTTGGATTTGTATACTCGATTGGCCTCGCTTATATCTTCAATACCCGGGTTTTGGGGACGTTTTTATGATGGTTGTGCCGTCTCTCGTTGAGGGGCAAGTGACATCGCTGAGTGATGAGCAATTCTGGTTGTCGATTGCGTCATCCGTGAGACCCATCATGTTCATCCTCTACCCAATCAATCCAAGACGATCATATCGTGTTACGCCAGAAATACGTCGCATAAATGCAGTACGAAATCAAAGATATATTTGCTAGTTGGTTGATATCTGATTTATCGGATTCCCATGCCGCACTCCATGCTCTGGTCTGTGGATAGTCAAGAGCTGGTGTCCGCAACGAGACCTATCAGTACCCCCACTGTCTATTCCTACTCCAATCAGCTGTTCTCACCTCGCAATCCTCAAAGTTTTCTGGGCTGCCAAATGGGCACGCCATATGATTATAGATGACGCCTTAATGACTGTTCGGGCTCAAGTGGAGTTGTTCATGGGACGGTACGGGCTGAATCCGGGTCCTCCGTCCACCAGAAGAGGTTCCGAACAAGGAGTTAGTATATCTTTACTCATATGGCCGTCATCATATTCAAACCCCTAATTGTTGTATACCTCATCGTATGGCTCGCTGTCAGTAATGTTTGGCCTTCAGGTTCTCCCCTTACCACGAAATGCTTCATTGTATGTCTAGAATGGTCTCTACATATAATTCCAAGAATTTGTCACTGTAAGGATAACTAGGTGTTCCGCAACCGGTGCCACCCACGCGGTAGTTCAAGCGGCAGAGACAATGATCCACACACAACTTGATGTACAATCGGTTGCTACAGCATGGACTCCGCCAGTTCGCGTTGCACCAAAATTTTGGTCTCTTGGCACCTTGGCATGAATACAAATAGTACCCGGTTCGACTATTCTCAACGTCCGTGAAGATGCATATCGTGTGGTAACGCTTCCAGCCAAAGATTCCCACCTCCAGCAGAAGCGGGCAATATTATATCCTGGAACCTTTCTTTGGTGTAGCAATTATATCCAAGTGCCAGCGTTATCCTCAATCACTCAGAAATGGGGTCATCTATTGATGCCATCCAAGTGGTCACGCAATCTGACTCAAAATCCCCACGCGAATCATCGTCAGGCAAGGCCGACGAAAGCCCACATGGGGAAATCGCCATTCAGGAAGTCCCCAAAACTTCGTGGAAGTCTTACATATGGGATACCTTCGACAAATCGCCTGAAGAGCGAAGGTTTCTTTTCAAGTTGGACGCCGTGCTCATGACCTTGGCATCTCTTGGGTATTTCATCAAATACCTTGACCAGGCAAGCCACTTGCCACAAAGCTCTGGTGCATAGAGAGACAGCCTCCTAACCCGTACTTCAACCATAGGTCAACGTCAACAATGCCTTCGTATCCGGAATGAAAGAAGACCTCAATTTGTATGGCAACGAACTCAACTACATGCAAACTTGCTGGACTGTCGGCTACGTGCTGGGCGAAATACCAAGGTAGAATATCTGTGTACCATGCGATGGGAAGCTTGTCCGGCTAATCTACTTACAGTAACATCTTGCTGACTCGGATCCGACCGAGCATCTGGATCCCCACATGCGAAGTAAGTCATCAATGTTCCTGACAAGAAGACATTATACTGACACACAAACCCAGGTCCTGTGGTCCGTTCTCACCATTCTACTGACGCAGTGCAAAACCCCCACTCAGCTGTACGTCTTACGCTTCATCATCGGCCTAGCCGAAAGCAGCTTCTACCCCGGAATGCAATACATCGTTGGCTCTTGGTACAGGAAAGACGAATTGGCGAAACGATCATGTCTTTTTCACGCCATGGGCAACGTCGGGTCCATGGTATCTGGTTACCTCATGGCCGGTGCCCACAACCTGGATGGCGTGCAAGGCTATCAAGGGTGGCAGTGGCTGTTCATTACTAACACCATCGTTTCGCTCCCAATAGCCATATCTGGCTTCTTTTTCCTGCCAGACGTGCCCGAAATCACTAAGGCGTGGTACTTTACCCCTGAAGAAATTGCGCTCTCAAAGAAGCGGATGGAGCTTGAAGGGCGCGCCAACCGTGCGCCTTACACCAAGGCGAAACTACGGCGCATTTTCTCCAGCTGGCATATCTATATGCTCGTCTTGCTATACATCCTATTCAACAATGGCAATGGTGGGAACACGCAGCCGGCCTTCCCGCTTTGGCTTAAGAGCGAAGGATACAGTGTCAAGGAAATCAACCTCTACCCGACAATTACCGAGGTCATTAGCGTTATCACGACACTGATCTACGCCTGGACATCCGACAGCCTGTTCCGCGGTGCTCGCTGGCCAGCCATCGTGTTTTCTGGTGTGGTTAAGATCGTGGCCTATGTCAGTCTCACCATCTGGGAAATTCCCGTAGCATGGAAGTGGACATGCTTCTTTCTCTGCGGCTTTGGGAGCGGTATCAGTGGTCTATCGTTTGCCTGGGCACACGAACTTTGCAGTGATGATAATGAGGAGAGAGCACTGGTTGTGGGGGCTATGAACGAGGCTGCTTATATCGTTCAAGCATGGTTGCCGTTGTTGATTTGGCAACAGGTCGAAGCGCCAAGATATCCAAAGGGTTACTCAACGTCCATCGCACTGGCGGTTTTGTTGATTGGGGTTGCTATGATAATTCGGTTTCTGCATCATCGGGAGATCAGGTTCAAGGCTCCGGCAAAGGTTGCACAGGTCTAATATTCTGTACGTCAGTAGCGAGGGTAAGCGTCTTTCTCCGGTGTCCGATCATATTTTTCGGGTAATGGAAATATGGTTGCTAAAAAAATGAATGACGCATTTCTTCTACACGGATCTCTGTAGCGATTCCCGATATGGATGACCATCATAACATATAGCGAAATCATTATCATTGCACACCCCTCGGTGTTTGTATAGGAACTGACTAACAGGACCAAAGGAGGTTGGATCCAGTTCGAATAGTTGCACAACGTGGCCTTGGTAACGTTATACCAATACCCCGTCCCTGTTCTTAGAGGAGAAATCGAAGTAGGTTGTGGAACCTTCTCCAATTATGAAGTATTTAGGATATATGACATCTGCTTCCGCTTCCTTGCTAGACACAATGTAATATAGCGGTGGAAAGGAGAAACCATGGGTTGAGAAATACACTCGCATATACTCTTTTTCGGTATTTCTCCTGTGTCCCCTGTGGAATTGTGATCTGTCCAAATAACATAGAGGTTAGGGAGAGAGCAAGGCACTTGTATTTCAATCCTAAAATACGGGACGATCAGAAGATGGAGGCGGCGTTTCCTATTATTTGGTCTTAAGTCATTCAACTTAGTTAGGGATGGGTAAGAGGGCATTTTTATAGTGTCTCGCTTATTTCGGTCGGTTACTGTCATAGCTTCGTGAGTCCGTCTGCAGTAACCACGAACAGCGTCTCGTCAAGGCGAGTCGAATGTTGGAGTACCTAGAAGGGGTGTTGTAATGTCTGCTTACCTGATGTCCTGCAGCGATCAGAGTTTAAGATCGATCAAGTCTGTTGGTTTGGGTAAACTGACAGCCGCAACGATGCCCAACATGACCATGCATCAAATTGTGCAACCCAGGACATATTATTTGGGTTGGTTTATTCCAGTAGCGGGAATGCAGGAAGGCATCTGGAGGATTGCAACAACCAAAACGGCCAATTTTGTAGAGGTATGAAGCATAGATTCAGTGAAGTGCCATCATATCAATAAGTATGGATCGTTATATGACCGGTTATGTCGCGTGGTTCATTGCTAAGGCTCCTTACCACGAAATGGTTTACGATCTAGCTAGCTTACGCATTGTAGACAACTGCGGACGCAAAATGAAGGTTACGGCTATGTGCGCAAATTATATCTTCGTTGTGGTCAATTCCAGGCAGTCTAGACGACAAGGATTCCGTGGAAGCGGTCAAGTTCGCTCCTAGGCGTCAGTCTGGGTTGAAATGAAGCAGACCAGCATTTCAAGGCTGATCGATGCTGGTAGCTGAAACGCCTGGTGGCTTTATAAATTCTTTGCAACTATTGCGTTGACCATAATAGCTCTAGCTTCCATCTCTCGTGGCACTTTCAGTTGGACACAATCTGGACCCTGCGAGAAAGCGGGTTGGATTTCAGCTGTACCCAAAAAGAGGCGTCTAGTAGAAGTTGTCTCTCGAAGCGACTTCTACTACAATTGATGGAAGGTGGCCATCAGGGCCTTAAGTACAGAGCGATAAGCGATCTTGCTCCGTATTCGAGAGATGTTGACTCAAGGTAGACTTTTGTCAATGAAGGTCTAACCTTACTGGAATTCCAGCATGCCAGGGGTTATATCAGTATTAAGGTTGTTGGCGAGCCGGAGGTCCGACAAACCGCCTCCGTGCCATTCAAGCCGAAGGTTCCGCAGTCAGGTTTACCAAGCTTCAACGAGTGTATTTGACATTATGAGATGAAAAACTGGGTCTCTTAAGTTTCTATATTCTAGCTCTCTTTTTCTGGCTTCGTCATGTACAAGTGATAATCATAGTTTAAGCGATTCAGTCGCATGATACCGAGCTACCTAATATGCAAAGGCAGCACGAGATCAGATGAACAAATTCTTCACCACTTCCGATGACTGCTGGAAATGTGCCAAACTGCACGCCACGACGTAGACACATGTTGAAGAATCAAAAAGTAAGTCCGTGATATCGTGTTTGTGTATATTCGCCATCCGGGCTAACGATGTCGTAAGTTGGCTTGGCCGCTTGGCCTACCTTGGCGTTCCCGGGGGGTTGGGGCGCCTGCAATGATTTACTGGCCTGGCTTTCTGATATGGGGCTCGTCAAGCCCGTCTTGGCTGTAACTTCACACGATTTGCCAAGACAATGGAGGGAGCTAGGTCCATCTCAGATACTTTTCCCGCGGCGGGAGGCGGTTAGGCCCTCAACCTGTCGGCGGCTGAACACAAGCTGGGACTTGATACCGAAAGAATGGCTTGGGGCCTGTACAAAGATGTTCTGTACCCTGTGATATATAGCATGGGGACCCATCTTCAGATGAACTTGGAAAGCTGCATCACTACTCTATAAGTCGTGCCAAATAAGCATCGTCGGGTTTAGACTGCGCAAATACGACACCCAGCATGTCGTCGCAGAACAAAGTCGGTCGAAGTCTAGCCAAGGCCGTCGGTATTGACGTTGACTACCGTCATCGCAATGAACCGCATGAGTTCTTCCAGTCGGCAGCAGGGTCAGTCAAGTCGGTTGACCAATACTTCGAATCGGAGCCAACAGTACAGGAATGGTTTCAGGATCATGGACCTACTCGCGCGGGGACTGCTCGTTACGTTCGGTCTCTGTTTCCCTTTTGGAACTGGATCTTCCACTATAACCTGACATGGCTTCTTGGAGACGTCATTGCTGGTGAGTGGCAACAGAAAAGGAAGTAAATTGAGCAATCAGCTGACATGGATACACAGGTGTCACGGTTGGCTTCGTCGTTATCCCTCAGGGAATGGCTTATGCCATTCTCGCCAAACTTCCCCCAGAGTATGGCCTGTACACCTCTTTCGTCGGGTTTCTGCTGTACTGGACCTTCGCAACGTCCAAGGACATCACCATCGGAACCGTAGCCGTCATGTCCACACTAGTTGGCAACATTGTCGGGAGGTTGACTAACGAACACCCTGAATTCGCACCCGAGATGATCGCGAGGGCACTGTCCGTGATCTCGGGGGCGTTGTTGCTCTTCATCGGCCTGACAAGACTGGGCTGGATCGTCGAGTTCATTCCCCTGGTGGGCATCACCTCATTCATGACGGGCGCGGCCATCAACATCGCCGCCGGTCAGGTGCCCGCATTGCTCGGTATCTCCGGACTGAACACGCGCGAGTCGACGTACAGGGTCATCATCAACACGCTCAAGCACCTGCCCAATGCCAAGATCGATGCCGCGATGGGTCTCACGGCTCTGTTTCTCTTGTACTTCATTCGCTGGTTCTGCGAATTCATGTCCCGGAGGCAGCCGAATAGAAAGAAGATGTGGTTCTTCATCGCAACCCTGCGAATGGCCTTTGTCATCTTGCTCTATATCCTGATTAGCTGGCTTGTGAACCGCAATGCCAACTGGGACACCAAGAAGACGCGATTCAAGGTGCTTGGCCCCGTGCCCAGCGGGTTCCAGGTCCATGGCGCGCCCACCATCACGCCGGAGCTGTTGTCCGCACTTGCCCCTGATTTACCAGCAACTATCATTGTTTTGATCATCGAGCACATTTCCATCTCCAAATCCTTTGGACGCATCAACAACTACGTGATCAACCCCTCTCAGGAGCTAGTTGCAGTCGGGTTCACCAACATCCTCGGCCCCTTTTTGGGTGCCTACCCTGCCACGGGCTCTTTCTCACGAACGGCCATCAAGTCCAAAGCCGGTGTGCGGACTCCTCTTGCGGGCATATTCACGGCCATCATCGTCCTCCTCGCCCTCTACGCCTTGACGTCTGTTTTCTTTTATATCCCCAGCGCCAGTCTGGCTGGGCTCATCATCCATGCCGTGGGCGATCTGATCACCGCCCCCCATGTGGTCTATCAGTTCTGGCAGGTCAGCCCCGTAGAGGTCATCGTCTTCTTTGGCGGCGTTCTCATCACTGTCTTTACCGACATCGAGACGGGCATCTACTTCACCGTTTGCGCCTCGGCCGCGTTATTACTGTTCCGCCTGGCCAAAGCAAATGGGAGCTTCCTCGGACGGGTGCATGTTTACCGTGTGAACAAGGACACGTCCCGCAGCGATCATTTGTCGGCTGGTGGCGTGGAAAAGGAGCAAAGGGAGTCCTTCATCCCATACGACCACTCAGATGGGTCAAATCCGAATGTCAATGTGCAGACGCCCTACCCAGGAGTATTCATATATCGCTTCGACGAAGGTTTCAACTACACCAACTCCGGCCGTTTGATGGACGACCTGACAGCCTATATCCAAGCCCAAACTCGACCCACAATTTTGGAGCGTTATGAGAAAATAGGAGTAAGTCCAAATATGCTATCCAAGCACGTCAACTTCGAAATATTAGCATGCTGACACAAGTTTTCGAACTACAGGACCGCCCCTGGAACAATCCAGGTCCGCGTCGGGGCGCACCCCCCAACCCCGGAGACTCCCGCCCCTTCCTCCACGCCATCATCCTTGACTGCGCCTCAGTCAATAATGTCGACGTGACGTCGATTCAGGCCCTAGTTGACACACGCAACCAGCTCGACACCCACGCGAAGCCGGACCCCGTTGAGTGGCACTTCGCCAACGTCAACAACCGCTGGACGCGCCGCGCCTTTGCCGCCGCCGGGTTCGGGTTCCCAGCCTCGAAGGCTGTGGACCAATACTACCAGGGCAGGTGGAAGCCCATCTTCAGCGTGGCGGCGGTAGATGCGGCAAGTGCTGAGGAGGAGAAGTTTAGGAGGCCATTGGTCACGCTTGAAGATGTGGAAACAGGGAAGTTCAACGATAGGATTTCGTCGACTGAGCCGCATGGGGAGGCTAGAGTGCAGGGAAGCGAATTCCCGAAGAAAGTGGTGGCTGTGCAGGGGATGAATAGGCCGTTTTTCCATATTGATGTTGCGGCGGCCGTGGAGAGCGCTGTGGCTAATGCAGAGGCTAAGGCGGAGGCTAAGGGGGGTTCTAGTGAGTTTGGGAAGAGTGGGTACTGTGCTAATGAATGAGCAGTGCTTAACCAGACATACATATACTTGATGATAATCTGATAAATATTTTTACATGTAAATCCGGTGCCAGAAAACAAAATTATATCCTCCAGCGGTGCTTTTACTTGCTTGAGCGATCCCATCTGAGCAACAGCTGGGAAACTTGAGATTTTTCGGCCCAGGACATCCTGATGTAGCCTATTATCATCTTTTGTGGGAACAGAATGGACGGTACTCTTGCTATATAATTACTGATGATGAACGATCTAGGCTTACTCAACACACAGGTCTCGCACAGACGATTGACAGAAGCTGAATGACAACTCCTAATATCCGGACGATTGATCAATGCTAGGCGACAGTAGCACGACAGGAAGTCCAGCCGACCACTTGCCTGTATATGACAAGTTAGGTTTTCTCTGTGATAAATAATGTGAAGTCAGCTTGGCAAAGATGGGCTGATTCTAGTTATAGCATCCTCAACGGCAAGGCTTCTGTTGTCTTCTGTCGCCATTGCTTCGAAGTTTGTAGATCTTGGCTAGCTTATCAACAGAGAGTTCAATTTCATTTTCTCAAGTTGACAGCGACTATGTGAATAAGAGGAATGACAACACTGAGGTTGGCAAAGCAAGAAAGATTACCAGTTAGGGGCCATTTGAGAAGCAACTAAGGTCGAAATACATTGAACAGCCTCTTGTGGCAAAATTTCGGGGTTCACCGACCTGGCTAAACACAACATCATGCACGGGAATTTGTATAATACAGGGTCATTGTCAAAACTAGATCACGTCTCATCATCCTGGTGCTAACCATGACGCCAAATTTGGCACGTGGCATTCCCTTTTCCTTTTCTTTGTTGTCTTTCTCCCTTACATCGATGTTTGCTTGACTTCGGTCAACTCTTCACTCCCTGCCTGTCTGAAAGATGTTTCTTTTTCTTTTGGAGATCTCTTCTTTGCCTTGGTATACCGGATACCTTAAGACAGAAGTTAGCAAAATAGTTTCTTGGAGTATGCAAAATGACAGGCCAGGTTTTCGAGCCACTCGCCTGTTGGCCCTGTTTATTTGAGCCCGAGATATTGTAGTGCTATTTTAATTTACTATTGCCGGTAGTCTCAGCGAGGTTCCTAGGAGTCTGGTTCGACCGCAAACTGACGTGGCACGCCCATGTTGAGCGTGTTAAAACAAAAATGGCAACTCAAAAGCTAGCCCTGACAAAGCTAGTCAATATGTCGTGAGGCTGCGATCTTATACGGGCGAGGCTGTTATATACGGTGGTTATCCGTAGCGCGATCGCCTTCGGGGCGACTGCGTGGCATACTATAAGTGAGGAACCGGCAGGGCCAGCTAAGAGCCTGATGGGGATACAGAACGAGTGCCTCCGAGTAGTCTGTGGCGCCCACAAAGCGACGCCGCTTCGCCACCTGGAAGCAGAAGCAGCAATCCCGCCACTAGACCTCTATCTTAGTGCCCGGGCTGCTAAGTTTGAAGAACGGCTACGGCTTAGCGGGAAGAGAAATCTGCTTCGCAGCGCGAGCGCTAAACCGTCACATATACTCCGGCAGGATAGGCCGGCGAAGAGGAAGCAGGCGTCGCAGCTACTCCGACCGGCAGGGTACACTATGGAGAAGGAGGCCCGGGGCTCCGAGTGGATGAGTGAGGAAAAGGAGGTCCCGGCTGCCCTCCTTGGCCACTGGAGGAAGAGATGGCTCACCGGAGCAGAGCATCACGATCGCCAGCAACGCGCTATCGCTGAGGAACCGGAGGGCCCTTCGATGCAGATACCGAAAGGGGGCAAGTATTTCGGCCTGAACCGACTGGAGGCGTCTACGCTGTGCCAGATCAGGACGGAAAAAATAGGACTAGCAGCCTTCTTATTCAAGACAGGGGCTTTTGGCGTGTACTCGCCGCTATGCCGCTGTGGCGACGCCCCTGAGACGTCAGAGCACGTAATCCTCTTTTGCGGGCTGTTGGAAGGACCGAGAGAACGATTACGGGCCGCTATCGCACCACGGCCACTATACTCTCGCAGAGACCTCGCAACGGCAACAGGAGAACCAGTAGTTAGTGGGACTATTGTAAGGTGGCTGCTAGGGACGGGTCGGACAGCTTCAAGGCCCAGATAGCATCGATCTTCTCAGGGGGGACTTTGTTGGTAGGTTGAGAACCAACGTAGTATGGTAGTGGACGCAACGCAGTCGCCAATAGGGCGAACCGACGACGCAGCGTATGTATTTAGTCCAGCCATTAGGGCACGGTTTGACATACGGGAGTACTGGTAGAGGTACCGGGGGCTTCGAGCCTACGGCGTATTTAATAATAATAATTTACTATTGGATTGATGCTGCCAAATATGTTGCTTGATACTTTCTATTTCTGATTCACGGCATATTTGAGTTCGCACGGTTTCGACGGATTAACTTCATTGATTCATTTACCTCGTGGGATTGTTTTTTTCTTCTAGCTAATTTCACGCCCTAGTATATCTTTCTTTCCTGTCTCTCTCATACTATCTCTCATGCTACAGGTTTCCTAGAAGAAGATAACACCTGAGACGTTACTCGTTCCTTTGAATTACATTCCGCTTTTGTTATCGTTCATTACACAATATTTGCTCCACTTTCTCATGAGTGGGCTTAAGTCATGATACATACCACCCTATCAACAAATTGTGCCTAAGCAGACTTGTAGTCATCCTCAACGGAAATTCCAAGGTATCCAGGGTGGAAATACGTGGCGGTCATGATGTCTGGAAACTTGGAATGGCCGTGGCGAGTAAAATGTAAGTCATATTCGTTATATAGCATTACTAGCGAAGCAATATGGTAGTTCAGTGACTCTGTCTTGGTCGATCGTGCTATTCCATGCGCCCTCTCGCTACGACAAGCCTTTTCAAGGTCTATCTAACGTTTTTGTCTATAATGTCCTTTCTTATAATTTTGTTGTTCCTGGTAATGTCTATGTGATCGGAAAATTAAAGCGTCACAGTGTGGATCCAAATCAGAGGATCTGATTGGCTACATCATTGCTCTTAAGCAACATTTCGTAGCTTCGGAAATAGCTGAGCTTTCTAGAAAAAAGACCATCAAAAGAGATCTGAACCACACAACTGACTTGGCACGAAATCAATCCTGATATTCGTGACTTGAGTCCTGTGAGGTCAGATCGACCAGGATACACAACAGGTTGTATATAAGGAGGTCCGTTGAATAACTAGGGTACTCCAAGGTATAATAATATTCACAAAGTCAGTCGAGGAGCTGTTCACCGATGACTCATGCCAGGTTTCTTATCTCAATCCGAATTAATCAATGAATATTACATGACTGCGATTAATTGACAACTATTTGTCCATATTTCTAAAAGGTCCAGTCATTTTGAGCCATATGTGGACACTCGAGGTTATACTACAACAGGGTTCCGAAATTGGGAATTCTTGAAAATACCACACTACTTGTAGATCATAGAGGAATTTAGAGAAATATAGAAGAGCAAGTATAGGTGAGAGTAAAAGTGTTTAATTAGACTAGCCGAAAGCGACATACCTGACTTTGCCCGAATTACTTAGCGATGAGATAACATGTAAACATGATCTACTTAACACTACCCTTGTTTTACAGTATAATAATACAGTATAATAAAGGAATTCTCCTGAAAATAGAAGATAATTACCAGAAAATACACACTAATACAATATATAACAAGAATAATTTCTTACTCATTACTAAACGAACCTAACCTGTAGATACCTGACAGCAATCCACATATATCCGCCATATACTCGTATCCTCTAACAGGCCCAAGTGTCCTAAAGCTGCACCTCAACAACCTGGCCGTAGTACACAACCCAATTCACCGTACCACCTCGGGTAGTGACATAGGCCGTCTTTCCATCCTCAGTCAGAGTAACCGACGTGGGCCCAACCAAAGCCGAGCTATTCGCTCCACCCGCAACGATAGTCTGCTCCCCATCTAGCAACGCAACCTTGACTAGCTCACTGCTTGACTGGGCCACATAGGCATTCCCCGAGGCCGCATCCAGCACGAAATCATCCCAATCGTATCCCGCGGAAATAGCGTCAGCGTTCACCTCAGCAATAACCTCAATGTCACCAATTTTGTCCCCCATATCACTAATAGGCACTCGTGCGAAGATATTGCGCGCCGTGTTAGTGAAATACGCATACGACCCGTTGACTTTCAATCCGTTGACACCAAGCGGGAGCGTCGCATTAGCCGGGACAGTGAGCAACTCGTCGGAGAAAGCCACCTCTGATGTGCCAGCCGTAGTGTCAACCCGGAAGATACAGCCCTCGACAGCGTCACCAACCAGGACTATGTGCGGGTTGGCGGGCAGGGAAGCCATGCCGTTCAGAAGGGAAGCGTCGGGGACGGTGGCGACGATGGCGATGGTGGCGTTGGCGTTTCCGGCAAAGTCGACGGTGTAGATGGTCTCGTTATCGTAGTGGTAGCTGCCGCGGATACCACCTGCGACGGCATACTTGTCGGTGCCGATGGAGGCGATGCCTGTGATGGCGGTGGCACCAGGGAGGGCGGCGATGAGCTCGGCCTCGGGGTAGGCCAACGACGGGTCGAGCGTGTAGAGGCGGCCGTTGTCGAAGGTGGTCAGGAGGAGGTGGCCGTTAGGGCGGAAGATGCTGTTCTCAATATTCACTGATGTGGAAAAAGTGAACAGCTGCTCGGTCGATGCCGCCAACACGGAGCTCGTGGCCATGGTGGCCAGGTAGGCCAGTGTCATCTTAGTGGAATACATGGCTGTGTTGGGTATTGGGATAGCTACAACAACGAGGGGAGACTGGAGAGACACGAGTTCCAGGTCCCACTGCAGCTTCAAGCGTCGGACGTCATAACTGGCGAAGGTAACCAGCTTTTATACAATACAATAGCACCAATGGACTTGGATTTGGGCTTGTGGCTCCAAACTGGGGACGGAGATGAATGAGGAGCTACGCATATGCAAAGCCTGGAGTTGCATAGCAAAACGAGGAAATGAGGTCGATCTATTGGAGTCCAATGCAACATGATTGCGCACTCTTCCTTCTGTTCCTGGCCAAATCCACTTAACATACCCCACGGCCCAATTGAACATACGGTCCAATCAAGCACTTTCCCGCATTTCCGTGCAACCTAGGTTTCGTCCCTTATTTTCTACCTTTGACTGTAGCACGTAATTAGGGAAAAGCAATATGAAATTAGCGCTTTAAGCGCTTTAAAATAATTCTAAACTAAGCGTACGATCCGTAGTGCGGATCTACAATATCCCCTATATAACCTGACGTTACCGATACCGTAGCGGTACTTTACGATGGGATATACGGTTACTAAAGTAAAAGCGTACTTATTCCGAAGCAGAGGTAATCGTACGATAAATAATCAACCTAAATTCACAATTGTTATTCCCTCCTCGGATAAATAGCATTGAAGATATATGTAACGAGGATACCACACGTCTCACGATAGTAGTCAGGTAGTGCAAAGAGCGGCTATGATGCGCTAGGGTTATGGGTGCGTATATTGCAAGACTGATTCTTAAGGAATCTAAGTTAGGTGGGAGCGCCTCGAGATGTTCTCTTTGACTAACCTAGGTGGTTCCGGGGTTCTACCGGATCGGGGGCGAAACCCCCCCGACTCAGTTTGTCAGCTGAGACCGGCCCGCCATGATGGCTCTTATAACTTTAACGAGACTAGGTTCCTTATTAGTTAAATCTTATCCAAAATAATTATAATTACCTCTATTTAAGGTAGAAGACCTAGAGTAGTATAATAAGGGAATTAGGAATATGTCATAGTTATCTAGGGCGTCGAATCGTACAGCTACAGTATCCCCCTGTATTGTTACTGTTACGAACCGTTGGTGTCACGACCTGGGTTGCATCGCATTGGTATAGACCTCGATTAGGTGCTATCGACCAAGATTCTACTCTAAGGAGCGAAGGAAAGAAGATGACAACTTAGGTTTGAGGGAGCGCGACTAAGTCATCCACGCTTGGCGGGGCTCCTACAAGGGTTATGATTGGCTTCCCATCTGACACTGCCACGGCAGGTGTTCCAGCTGTAAGTCACCTGGTTGTAGTGAGTCTGCGAGGGTTGACCTTCACAGTTGGCACTGAACCAACATTACAGGCCCGTCGGCAGGCCAGGTGGATACAGACACTAGGATCACGAAGGAAAGGACCGACAGGTCACGTGACCTACAGGGGTGGATATGTTGGACAACCAACATATCCAAGTGGGGATCAGTGAAGGAGAGATGGGTATATAAGGGACAAGACTCCCAGACATTTCATAGATAGACAGTCTCTAATTCAGTGATCAATCTAAGCATCAATCTAACCCATTGGTGAGGCAAACTGCCTTAACGACTATATTCCCGATTACCCTACTTGAATACTTCAGTTACCCAAAGCACTCTACTCCATACGTCAAACCCCGATATTATTGCTTGAGGACTCCGCAGCAGGACTTACTTACTAGCACAAACCCTTACAGACTCTTTAGTGGTTTACGCAGCTAGACTATTAGAGGTTTCGTTACACGTATATAATCTTTATTAGGAAAACTTTCTCTCTTCCTAGTACGAAAACAGCCTACTATTAAAGGATTAGGTTATCGCGGTTATGAAAAATAGCTAGACTATAAATAAAAGAGGCGAGGACTAGATTCGATATTTTAATTAGTATATTTGTAGTTTTAGAAGTAGGTTAATAGTGTAACGAGGCAGAGGCACATAGGTACGAATCAAGGTTGGATATCAGTGCATCTCTATTGTTGAATACTAAACTAGGGAAGAAAGAGAAGGAAAGGGTTACAAGTATGTCTGGCCGTTCTCCTATTATAAGGGGAACGCGCTCGTCCAGATCAGGGCAGGCCATGTCAGGATGTCCCTGCTTATCGTCCATGTGTCAATCGTCACAAATAGGCAGTTATAAGATAAATCGCGCTAGAGCCGTAGTCGTACGAGGAGGCTTAAGACGCGCTAGCAACGCTATAGGACTTACGGAGAGCCCGGTTATAATACTGACGATGGGCAGTAAATGCCCGCAGGTTCAGGGTGTGATGATGATGGCAATGGATAACAATATCCTTAACAATGTCACAAATTATAGGTAGGATGGCCTGGAAGGTTGAGATCGGACCACCCTGGATAGGCAGGCGAAATCATGGCGATCCGATGGCGTTTCAGGAAAACCTTCTGGGCCCCTCAAATAGTGCTCGAGGCACCACGGAAAGTGGAGGGGCAAGTTCCGTTCTTTGTATCTAATTACTACTGGCGTTGGGAATTGACGATTGTGCCTGGCCTCCCCTTACACAGTATCTGCTGTTACAAACAAGACCTTACTATCCGGGAGGTGGAAATAATAATATTAAAAATAATAATATTAAATACGCCGTAGGTGTTAACCCTCGGTACCTCTACAAGTACTCCCTTAAGGGGCTATAGATGATATAGCGGGCCCTTAAGCCGCGTCGGGCGGTTATACAGGTAAACTTGTAGCCAAACGACTACTAAACCTCCTGTCCCTCCCTAAGTCTGTGCTACAACCCCTGCCTGAACTACCGATAAGCGTGGTAATGTGGCACTTAAATTCGTCCTCAGGGGTGGGATGCTGCTGATGTGCAGAAGATGCTCGACTATTTTTTTGTCGCGACAAGTCGTAGTATCTGCTAATTGGGGTTCTCGTCGAGCGTATACATCTCAACCATACGCTCAAGTGGATAGACCGTAACGTGGTCTAGACGCTCGCAAGAATCGCGGCGAGGGGGCGTGCTGCGCGCCTTCTATCGTGAGGGTCCGATAAGGGGTCGGATTAACGATTCGAATTCTGGACCGGCTGTCGAGTTATATTCCGCCGACGTAGTGCTTGACGGTCGACTGGCTAGGATGCTCGTAATCCTAAACTGCACCAATCTCCCTATTATCGCTAGGTAGGCGAAGTCAACAAGGTGGGCAGCGCGCCGTAAGGGTTGACTAAACCCCCTTGTGTGTCAGCTGCGGGATTCGAACCCGCGACTCGTCACCAACCCAAGTGGGCGAGGCTCAAATCGGGACTTATCTACCAGCGAAGTGACCAACTACACCAGCCGACAGGTGGAAATAATAACAAAATCGCGAGCCTTCTTGCTTCGATCAGAATAATAAGAACACCTCAACAGGCCCTAGAATTGTATCACCTCAGCAGGTGAACGATGGAACAATGGCCTCAACAGACACAAGCTGATCTATTGGAACAATAAAATTACCTCAACGGGTACGGAACAAGGGCCTCAACAGGCACGAGGAACAGAATAAGACTTCAACAGGTCATTAGAACAACTGGTGCCTCAACAGGCGAAAAGAGTCAGTTAACTACAGACTTGGCCGCTTGATCTTTCCGTCAAGAGAGTGACTACCTACACAGGTCCTTAAATACCGTAAACACGCTTACATAATTCATCTGAAAGCCGAAAACAATACCCAAAAACCCTGTCCCTAAGTCAATATTGTACGAGGTCTTAAGAAGTGTTCAATTAGACTGTGGGGTCCATTACACGCAAACTTCTATCTGCTTCCATTCGCCAGTCCGAATTCCTTCTTCACGCCCCTTGCTTAGTGCGCACCGGAGCCCCCACCATACATATTTCACAGCACACACTGCCTAATCAATTGAAGTACTCCGTAAATGGTCCATAGGAACAAGAGACGAGACCTATCTCCGATCTCCGCACTATATAAATCCCACAAACATCGAGCTATTTCTCCGAGCTGAATAGCCAACTGAGAGCCAACTGGGAGCCAACTAGGTTGGCTAGAGACATTAGGTTTTGTGGGCAACACAAGCAAGAGAGTTGTATTGGTGACGATGATGGAATTTACTTCCAAAGGCCGCAGTCACGGAAGGGCTATCTATGGGCAATTGGCCTAAGCGCTACACCCAGCACACAGGCGGCTTGCCTGGGGCACGCAACAGATTCCATACGCTAATGGAAAGATGTAGTAATACTGGTGTCAACATGGACTTATTATAACTGAAAAACAAGTCATCTCCGATTTTCCTATAGAGCGTACTAGAAGTTCTACCTAACTTCGTACTTGAGTTTTAAGTAGGCTTGCTATATGAGATATACAGGCTTTCTAGCACTACAACATCGGAAGTGTACTAGAAAAGAAATAATTCGTAACATGTTGCCTATCGAATGTGTGGGTAACCCTTACTTACGTGGCATCACATACGATTGATCCCTATACTGAACCCAATTCTACTGGGATTTAGCCTTCTTCTACCACAATTAGCTGACTATAGCACATTAGAAGGCTAATGATCAACGATCAAGCATTTTAAGTTGATCGCAGCCCCTCCGTTGCTCGACCGAGATCGACCGTACTAGGGCAGGTGCGCTACGTTTTGACCTGACGAATACTCCTGGGCGGAATCAGCAGGCCTTCATGTGAGCGATCGTCATGTATTGAATCCAAGAGGCATGGGTTTCAAGTCTCCACACATGGTCATGCACTTCAACAATTACCATGTATTTTGATTCATCCATATTGATTATAAAAAGACTGATGAGCGGCTCTGTACGCTCACCGCTACCGTCCGGCATGTCACCCAACTCACAGACGAGCAACAATGCATCTAGCCAATCAGCCGATCTATCACTCAGGCAACTTCATTCTCTTCACCGCGATGCGATCGGACTGGGAGCTTGATGAGCAGTTGACGCCCACTACTGCCCACAACATCATTAACAAATAAATTATGCAATCAGCTGGACAAGTTGCTGGCCATTGGTAGCTTGAACCGCGACACAACTTCCTACGTCAACAGGCCTCTGAAACTGCCCCTAGACGTCAAGTCGAAACAATTGAAGACCGGACTAGGTACCTCTAGTCTCCGCTCCGAGCCATCTTCTGGACGCAGATCCTGGTGATCAATATTGCTCAATGACACGATAAAACTAATACTTTTGGACGGACATACCTCGAGACTTCATGGTGGATTCTCTATGGGATTCCAATATGCTAGTAACTATATGACCAGCCGCTGTCATTCAGCATCACCAGGGTGGCAATGTTTCGTCACTGTTAATTCAGACCTCTCATTGGCAGTCATGCCTTACGACTTGCACCCAATGTGTGTATGGTGACACAAGGTTCCTACTCAACTTCATAGACGTACAAATGCCGGAATGAGATATTAAGGAGATTATAGGCGATGATTGTAGTGACTGGTATCAATCAGTATGCAAACTAACCCCCTGCTTATTCTACAGTGAAGCTTGGGGATAGTCGTTGAGGTCAATGTTGCAGATCTGTATCGTGCTTTGGAATCTCCGTTACCTTTACCTCGTCGACCAATCATGAAGTACTATCGGACTGTCAAAAGTCAAAGGAACCCGATTGGTCTCATTGGGATCATGAAGGTCTATTGTTGCCATCTGACCAGGACTAGAGTAAAGCCAGTGGTTTCAGCTTATACAACCGCCAGTGTAACAGCCGTAGATATATTCCACACGCTATTACAAAGCAGCCTTAGTCGGTACTACCCAAGGGCAACTCGGGTGGCCCAGAAAGACCATGGTCAAGAGTTGCACTCATACGCGTCCATCACATGACTTGTCAAAACAGTTGAAATCTCAGAACCTGGGGAGACTTGTTCTCGACAGTGGGACTTGACTGACATGCCTAAACATGAGATGGCCGTATATGGCGGTCACAAGAGAATATCCAAGGCCCAGCTGGAGCTATCTTGTACGTGGGGTGTTCATTTATCATAGCCGTCGCGGCATGCATTATAATATTAACCTTCTACACGATGTTCAGGTCTATGTATGCCGCCTTAACTTCATGCCGCCGTTGTTCTTCTGCTGCTGCGCCTCATCGGTCGTCTCGTCCGTCTTCTTCTGGTTCTTTTGCTGCGCCTTCTCGTTCTTTTGCTTTTTCTGAAGCTCGAGATAGGCCGTCCATTTCTCCAGCTCCGTCGTCATCTTGGCCAGCTCTTGCTCCTCGGTCTTGCGCGCCGCCAGCTCCTGCGCCTGCTTGGCCTGGATCCATTTGCCGTACTTTTCGTCCTGGCGGTCGAGGTCACCATCCTGGATGATGCCGTAGATGGGCTCGGCGGGGCGCAGGAAGCCCTTGGCGTCGGCCTCGATGATGGCTTGCAGCAGGATACGTCCCATCATCTCGTAGCCGGCCGAGGTGGGGTGCATCTTGTCGCGCGACAGGTTGGCATCCTGGATGCCGTCAACGCCGGCCATCTCGGCCAGCACAACGGGCTTGCCCTCCTTTTCAAAGATCTTGTGTAGTCTGCGCAGCTGCGTGTTGACAACATGGACCCGTTCCGATGCGTTCCATCTCGCCGTCTCGGTGGTGGGCAGCAGGGTGCCCATGACGACGGTGGACCGCGGCGATGCGCTCAACAGGTATTCGATGAAGGTGTAGTAGCGCTTGAAAAAGTTGGGAATGTCGAAGTCTTGGAAGCAGTCGTTGGACCCGACGTTAACGAGGTACAGGTTCGGCTTGGTCTTGGGCACGATTTGCTCGGCGTGGCGATGCATCTGGCCGGTGCGGGCGCCCGGGTAGGCCTCAATGTCGTTGTCGGTCATGTTCCCCACGCGCTGTGTTCCCACAAAGTTGACGGGGTTGCCGATGGACACGAGGTGCTCGCGGACCGGCCGTCGGAAGCCATTGTTGTCGAAACTCTCGTCGCCACGCGTCGTTGATGCACCGATGGCCATGATGCGCAGCGGGATGCCGTTCGCCAGAGGCAGTTCATAGCCTGGGCGCTTGTAGCCGGGACCCGTGTGGATGATGCCGGGGACGCCGCTAAAGACGTTGGTGTTGGTGCCATTGAGGATGGTGCCGTTGCTCGCTGAGATGTGACCGAAGCCTCCAGCCGTCTGCGACCACGCGTTCATGTCATCCGTCTCGGTCAACGAAAGAGCTGCGACGCGGGGCGGGTTAGTGAGTTGTGCTGGCCATAGCTGCCGGTCGATGGGTTGCGGGTGCGCATCTCGCGAAAACGGGCGGATAGAAGCGTCTTACCAATTAATATTAAAAACACTATAGAGACACCAAAGAGAAGACGCCGCTTCGCGACCAGGGCCGACACGTAGGGAGTCGAGGACAACTGGTCAAAGTACTTCTCCATCGTCACCGACGCGATCGTACAAAAACAAGTTGGAAAATGCGAAATGTGAAGGAGCGTAATGAAGGAAACGTTGCACACCAAGGAGGGACGGAGGAGCTGCGGTCGATCAGGAAAAAAGAAAATCGCAAGACGACAAAGCGATTCGATACTTTTGTACTTAGGTAGTGCAGTAGTACCTTTATCAGAAGAAAACCGAGCCCCCTTTATCTGTAGTGGCAGACGGACAGCAGACAGGCATTGAGAGGCATGTCAGCCATCGGTGTGGACGGGGACGGGGCATAAGGCGAGCTGATTTAAACCGACTCTGCATCGTCAGGCCGCTACGGCCAGCTTTCAGTGGTGGACAGTGGGCTTTTTCAGGGGTGGTGCTGTGCCAAGACGGCGCAAAACACCACGATTACCCCAATGCCAAGACTTAGCAGGTCTCCGCGCAGTGGCACGAACGGAAGAAACGGCACGAACGGCAATCTTCTTTTTGGTCTTGGCAGCTGCTGGTTGGCCACTCCTTCAATTCCTGGATCCTGATCCTGCGTACTTATAATAATAGAGTTGATGACCGGTCTCGTAATGAGATGACTGGTGATGGCATTCGTCTGGAGTCGTCTCGGATGGTTTTGACATTGGCAGGTGGGTGAAGGGAGGTCTAGACGGGGCCACCCGACGTTAGAAACAAGCCGCCGGGGCAGGCTGGGCTTATTGATGGAAAACTTACTTCAGTCTACTACGGTATCAGGCCAAAGTTTTCACCCCCTTGACAAGTACCGGTGGACCACTGCCAAGGTAACGCTATACTGATTCTTACCGATTCTTACCTAGCCTATTCATATTAACGAAACGGTACTTCCACCTCTGATTCCAACTTGCTGTTAACGCGTCCTAATTATCGCGTATGTAGCAACTACAATAGGGACTAAACACCTTACAGAAGCAGATCGCTAACGAATTCGAACCCTCCATTTCGACGGTGGTAAATCGAAAGCCGAAATTCAAACTACTACAACGTTTTCTTTTAATCTGATTAAGACAGCTGTTAAGGTCGCTTCAAGCCAGGTAGCTAAGAGTTGGCTCGTGCTTAGGTGGAGCACGGTACAAACACACAATTGAAAACTTACCCATGATACCATAGTACTTTAGACTTGATCGCTCCAGCTGCGACAAAATGTGTGTGATGTCGGAGGGACGTGTGGCGGGGCGCCCGCGAGGAGCTTTAAGAAGGGGCTTGGCGAGTTGTCGGGAGGCTTTGGGTACCTCGCGGCCAGAAAATATTCTACGCCCGGAAAGAGGCCTCGTATTTTCTGTGCAGAGCTCCAGAGCTATAGAGCGCGCCGATCCGTTGGAGGACCTTCCAATTAAAGACTGTCGATCGAAAAGTTATTCGCATCTTGTCGGGGTCTGAAGACGAACGTGATTGGAGTTGTTTAGAGTTCAAGATCAACGGCTCGTTTTGCCAATTTCCACTCAAGCTATCGCGGCATCGTGATGACCGGGGGGGTGGGGGTGGTGGGGGCAGGGAAGGGGAGATGCGGGTCTACAATTTGAACTTGCTTTCGAATGCATTGCAGTAGTACGCACGAGCACGACTGCAGTACTCAGTCAGCGACGAGACGGGATGATCATGGCAAAGGATGAAAGCTGAGCATCCGATCTAGTCGCCCCAAGATTACAGTCCAAAATGCCAAGATGAGTTACCACGCAGTTTGGTATCACGGTTGTTGAGCAATTGGTATGGAAACAATTGCCAGCTCCTTGCTCGGATCATACGCCGGAGCGTCTCACTGCAGAACGCGTGTTGGGATGATCCCACGATCGCTTGAATATCGTGCAAGGAGCAACCCATCAGCGATGGTAGAATGGCAGAACTTCGAGACGCCAATCGATCAAGTCGCTCGCAGTTCAACGCTAAACTCTCGCGAGTCAACGAGGGTATCGGCAGTAAATAATCGGATGAGGTTGTGTCGACCAGCGACCAATCAAGGCATCCACGAAAGTCAGAGAGCCACCAACCCAGTCAAAGTGTCACATGCAAGCCACGTCACAGAGCTATCTGTCATTTAATTTAGGAGACACGCTGCCTCCAAGGAAAGCGGCTAGAAGATCAGATAAGTATCTCGAGGCTACGTGCGGGTGGTGTCAGAACCCAAAAGGCAAGCGTGTTTCTAGAACAACGACACACCACAGCACTCCAAAAATGGCAGTCTCTTCTAGATTCTAGATGCGACTCATATTTGGGAGGGCCGGGTTATCAGAAAACCTGGGTAGAATTTAAGCATATCGCGCTGTTGCAATGTTTCAAAGGTTTCCACAAAACAGTCTTTGGTTGCGCACCCCTGAATCCCCCACACTCACACTCGACGGCGACTGTCAACTCTTGTACCGACGAGTCGGCAAGTATGATGGAGGTTTGATGAGCATTTTTCTTGTCATGATGAAACAAATGCTACAACGAGCTCGACGGCAAACGATATATGTCCTTCCCCGACACCTCTTGCTTCCAGTCCAGACTGGCCTTAGTCGTGGGTTTGGCCATGGTGCCGTTTCTTTCCTACGTAGAACGTACGGGATAAGCGAGGATCTGGTATCACCGAGTGTAACACAGCGTTGCGACATGAGAATAAGTGCAAGGGCAACGACGGGTTCGTCGGCATGCCGGAAACCCCACATACAAGACTACATTGTCTAACATGTGTTACACAAGCCTTCAAGATTCCGGGTAGTAAGAGTTTATTCATGTTAAGGTTTTGAGACTTCGATTTGAGTTGTGGTCGAGAAGCCAAGTTACTAGAGCTATGTCTATTCTTCTACATTCCTCGATGTACGAATTCAGTAACTCGATCTACGTTCATTTCATTTCGTTGACGTTCAAACCCTTTTTTGATGCCACATTCTTTGTAGACGATGGAGAATGGGGTGATCCTTCAACTTATCAATCGCCTGCATACATACTGCCTACTGGCATATGTGCGTCCGATTCGTAGCGCAATTAATTTACCTTTCGGGCCCGCTCCACCTCGACATCGAGATGGATCCAGTAACCGCCATAGGCGTTGCGTTAGCGGTGCTGAGATTCGTCGACTTCAGGCGCCCTAAAGCTTTTATCCCTAGATTCATGACGCTGCTTTGTATTCCATGCAGCATAACAAGGAGCTTGAACACGCCATGGCACCGTCAGGGAGCCCTGGAAGGGGCTCTTGCACGTTTGAAAACATGTCGGAGGCGCGGGGAGAAAGATCAGCAATACGAATGACACTTTTCGGGCCATGCGAGAGCGGGAAATCATTGGGAAGCTCGAAAATTCTTTGAACGAAAGGCAGAATATCGCCAATCAGTTGCTCGTTCAAGATATGCGGTAATTCTGCCAAGCTTGCTTCGTCTTGGATACTACAACGTATCACCCTTTGCGTAACCTTATCAGTGCGGGCACAGCAACAACTGTATATTCAAATACACACCACTGAACAATAATTGAAGCTATGCACATGGGATCTTTGCGGATAGAACACCAAATCCTCCCCGTGTTTCTTTCGCTTGACTGTGCGGCTGCCGCGTGTGACGGCAGTGACTAGCTCATCTGGCTCGGTTTCGGCCGAACTTGATTCTGCACTGATTTCTTCGTTAACCACCATAGCGGTAGCACCACTGGACGGTTATTGACGCTTAGGAGGTGTTACGTGCTTTCCAGAGGTCGGGGCTTCTGCCAAAGTCATCAACCAGCGGTTCGGATCAGGCAGTGCCTTACGCCTTTTGCCCCTTTTCAAACGGTCCAATTCTCATAGTACAGCACTCCTGTTACGTTTAGCAGTTAATTCGGACTCTGTAGCATCAAACCCTTGGCTATCCTCTAATGCCTGTAGCGGGCGTGATGCGAGTGCATATGGGGTGTGAATTGTTGTATGGAAAAGGATGGCCAGGTGAGCTATTCTGGCCTGGCAGAGCTCTTTTATCGCTTTTATCTTATCTTATATATAGCTACAGTCGGCTGGTGTAGTTGGTCACTTCGCTGGTAGATAAGTCCCGATTTGAGCCTCGCCCACTTGGGTCGGTGACGAGTCGCGGGTTCGAATCCCGCAGCTGACACACAAGGGGGTTTAGTCAACCCTTACGGCGCGCTGCCCACCTTGTTGACTTCGCCTACCTAGCGATAATAGGGAGATTGGTGCAGTTTAGGATTACGAGCATCCTAGCCAGTCGACCGTCAAGCACTACGTCGGCGGAATATAACTCGACAGCCGGTCCAGAATTCGAATCGTTAATCCGACCCCTTATCGGACCTCGCCTTTCCGATAACGCTCGTCGGCGAACCCGTCCCCTCACGATAGAAGGCGCGCAGCACGCCCTCTCGCCGCGATTCTTGCGAGCGTCTGACCACGTTACGGTCTATCCACTTGAGCGTATGGTTGAGATGTATACGCTCGACGAGAACCCCAATTAGCAGATACTACGACTTGTCGCGACAAAAAAATAGTCGAGCATCTTCTGCACATCAGCAGCATCCCACCCCTGAGGACAAATTTAAGTGCCACATTACCACGCTTATCGGTAGTTCAGGCAGGGGTTGTAGCACAGACTTAGGGAGGGACAGGAGGTTTAGTAGTCGTTTGGCTACAAGTTTACCTGTATAACCGCCCGACGCGGCTTAAGGGCCCGCTATATCATCTATAGCCCCTTAAGGGAGTACTTGTAGAGGTACCGAGGGTTAACACCTACGGCGTATTTAATATTATTTTTATTATATAGCTACAGGGTAACCCCCCATCGGGTCACGTATCAGGGCGTGTGTGGCCAGAATTATGACTAACATCTCGGATCCAGCGGCTTACTCAGGGGTAGAATCGCTATCCGGCCTTAGGGTTGCGGCTTAACATCTGTTTAAATTTCTGGATGCCGTAATATTTTAGCACTTTAAATTAGCTAATTCCTAGTAGTTCACCGGCTAGATTTAACAATCTTTGCTGGAAAACAAGGTGGTGATTTCCATGGTTGACAGCTCCGGTGGGAGGTTGTTGCTGTGGTCAAGATGGAAGGCACGACGCAGTCATAACGCGAAGACTCTGACTTCACTTGAAACAAATATTGAGTGAAACTCCTTAGCCAACTTACTTGTTGTAAATAGATTCTAGTCAATTGGACTTCCGTGCCTTAACTGGCACGGTATCACCTCCACACTGTCCAATACTGCCTCAGTTCCCAACAACCTTCTCGGTTATAGCCTCACATGCGTAGGCATAACATCTGTGACGCATATCACGTGACTTGTCGACAATGGTCCGAACAATTGATGAGTGACTGCAAGTACCAAAGTCAAGGACTTCAGGTACTTTGGTACTAGTTTTTTTCAAATGAATACATCGGCATAATAGCGCATGATCAAGTATGCAACCCCTAGCAGCGTCATACATCATTAGAAAAACTCAACTTACCAAACCCGTATCCATTAATCTATCCAGTTCTCTAAGCTCTCACCTTTAAGCTAGCTTAAGGGCATTCTAGAGGCTATTATTACTAGGCTGTAGGCTCCAGGAAGTGTGTACTAGTAGATAATAATCAAAAATAGTATTTGAGACGCAGGCAGTAATATACTTAGTCTATAGCAATGCGTTAGTTAGTTAAACTTATTCTTCCTAATCACTAATACCGTTAATTCTATCAGAAGGAGACTACTATAACACCCTGCATTTCTCGGCGGTCTAGTATCAAGATAGGCCGTTATTAGTAACGCACCAGACTGCTTCTCAGACACGGCTACCAGTGTCAAGCGCCATGTTGCATAGATTTGAACTCCAAGAAACGCTTCGAATACTTGCCGCAGACGCAATAGCGCATGGGTTTCTTCCGGAGTTTGCTCTTTCCCCAGCTTAATGAGCGCAGAAGACATATCCAAGATCATACGCCTAGTACCCTTGAATAGTTATAATTCTCTGCACTGCTTCGCGGAAGAGCCTCGATGGTTTGGAATTGTGGGAAAGCCGGGTGCGGGAAGCCGATGATAATAGTTCGTTCGGCATAGACTCTGAGACTAACATTTACAGGATTGGGAAAGCGGAATAATTTAGACGATTGACATTGGTAACTGAGAGTCTGTCATCAGAGTTATTGTAGCTGAAGATGAAGAATCTTCGCGGCTGTGTCAGCGGACTGAGACTCAGAATGCCTCTCAAAGCCCAGGTCTCTAGAAGTCAAGGACCATATCAGGAAGCCCTGAGTCTGTGAAGCCGATTGGAAACTCGCAAGTAATAGATACATCGCAGTCTTTCCTGTGCAGGTACCAGGTTTTATTTACAGCTCGGGACTAGCTTTCACAACCGAAAGATCAATTTTGACTCTGCTAGAACCCGAGGAGCTTGCCGGCAACGGACTGGAGACTTGGGTTGCTCGAAATGATATACATTCCTGTGTTGTCGTGTCGTTTCGGGCCGAATGTGTCTTTGGAAAAGCCTGGCATGAAGTTTTTGTAATGATCCTGCCTTGGGAAACTGTGATTGACCACGGACCGCTGTAAGGTGGTGGGGCGTGGTTGCCCGTCACGACGAGGATACTCGGGGGTCTGGTGGAGGATCTCAACGTGGGCGAAGGTGCCTCATCGCTAGCAGATGGACCAGGAACACATGTTAGGGACCGACTAGCGCCACACGTAGGCAGATGAGGAATTTATTTCCTAGGCTTGGTTATCTGCAAAAGGCCACTGGCATCTAGCGAAGCATGCAGAGATCCTATGACTGCTTCGATGACGATGCAGCCGGCGGAAGTATATGGGACGTGGGTATTCCAAAACTCTCTCACACAACGAATATGTATATGGGGTGGATCACCGCTACCTCGGTGCCATCGTGTCTCTATCCACTTGTCTGCTAGAATACGAAGAGGTGTCATCTGATAGACTCAATCTACGTCCCGTGCGTATTGTTGGGAAGCAGTATCCAAAGATGGCGTAGTTTGCAGGAAACTGCCTTAGCAATGTGAGCAAGGCCCATGCCTTTGTGATAGTGGAACCCCGTCCGGCTTCATCGAACACCATAGTTTACCTTAGAAGAATTGTGGACGATTGCTGTACCCACTTTCACCAACTACTGGAGAACCTTCCGGAACCTTTCGATCCATTCCCGGTATGCAGTCAAATGATATCGATGATATTTGGGCCAACAAACAGTGCCTAGACTCTACGCAGCAGCTCTTTGCTCTAGCCAGTGCCGCAAAATACCTCAGAAAATGTTGGCTGAACGCCCCTGCCTCAGAGGAGGACAAATGGTTATAAGCTTCCAGTTGAGGTATGAGACGGCCAGCCACATCTTATGATCCACAACAATTTGAAAAATGGTGTTAGATTGACCTTCACCGATTGGGCGTAAGGAATTTCAACACAATTATGTTTTCGACTATGCAAGACATATATATATATATGTACATGGTAGAGCCTTTATTTTTGGGTTTTAGTTCGATGTGTAAGCGGATCGCCTTTCCAATTTGGACTCGGTAAGGCAGTCTGTCCTGTCTGCGGTACGTCTAAGCTCCAGTATTGGTTTGCAACAACCGCAGATGGCGGCATGACACGGGGTCACTGCAATATGCACCCGTGGAGAATAATATGATGGAGCTGGTAACCATTTGGAGAATGTACTGGATACCGGCCCCATGTGGCGGTTTACGTCTGATTTCTTAGCACATACAAGCATCAAGGGACGCTATCTTACGATCAAGGAAAAAGCATCACAAACTTTTTTGATGTCAAGATAGACAAGGAACATATCCCCTCGAACTAGTCGTTCCACGCAATACAACATGCGGGCGTTGTGGTTGCCGTAAAACCTACGCACATGCATCTAGATACTAAATAGAAACTTGATAGATACACGTGTCATCAGTTATGATTCCGATGTGTTATCCTTAGTCCGATGAGAGTAGGACATCTGAAAAGAAAACTTGGGCGAAAAGCACTTCTCACAATAACATATGATGCTCTAGAAGACACTCAACCGCCAAGCCGATCGTCTCAACCCATCCCATATGGTACACGTGACAACGCACGCCATTTGTCGTCCCCGATGAATCTCCTGTCCCGAGTCGAATCTGAGCGCCACTACTCACGCACTAAACTGACGATGATCGACGCGATCTCCATCGCAACCACCAAACCCCGCCAGCACTCTACTATAGCCCCCCCTCTACCCCTATAACCCCAACTTCCCTTCGCCCACCATCCTACACTGTACATAGTCTAGTCCTGTCCAGTCTCGACCGAAACTGACCATCTGCACGCCTGTTCAAGTGAATCGTACCAGTTTCAATCTAGCCAACCCAAGTATCAACTGAAAATGAAACGTCGTATGTGCATGTACCCTCTACTCAGACAAACCTGCAGCCAGCAGCATCAAATGCAAATGGGCAAACTACAGTGCAGTGCAGTAATCTATCACACTGACCTCATGCTGCCTCACAGCACGACGTGGCGGAAAAAGTGACACACTCTATTTCTACTCGGCGCCCCGATCGGGACAGTGTGCATGGAAAGGGCAGGACGTTGGGTTAGAGTGGCCAGAACTAGGCAAAGCCTCTGCATGAGGTATCCCGTTTCCCGCCGTCGGCGAGCCAAAGGATGTAGCCCCAAGCCAAGCAGCCACATTGTGATGAAATCCTTTGGCGTTGCGTTGCGTTGCGCTGCGTGGCGATGCTGCTTTCTGTTACCGCCGTCTTTCCCCCCTTCCTTTTTCATATTATATCAGATATCATATTTTCCCGGGGAATTCTATGGTGGTACCACCATAAACCAGATGATGTACAAACTGGGCGTGAACTGGTGGGATCAGCTCCGGAACTATTATCTAACCCAGACACGAACAAATCCAGAGGATAGACCTCTAAGAAAGGAAGTAGGTGCCATAGCGTGTCGAAGGGCATCGTGTCATATGCAGGCAGGGTGCGCTTTTGGTTCGGGTTAGGTACCGGTGGAAAAGGTGGGCCATAGCTCCGTACGGCGATTCAAGGTCTGTCTGTCTATTCCATAGACGAGGGAATCTTGGTGCCGAAGCACGGACGGGGCATAAGTGTCGTGCTGTGTGACAGCGGGACCTAGTTGCAGGAGCGTTGCACTTTCCCAACTGTGTGTAGGGTGGTAGTGCTGTATATAATTGTGGTGAGTATGAAATGACAGCTGGCAATTCTGAGTTAATGGGCTGACAGAAGCAAGGGAAGGGAGGGGGGCTGCCGGATGTGATAGAGATCGAGTTGGACTAGAAGTGGGGTAATATTTGGAGATGCGACCATAATGGGTTGCGTGATAGAGACACGAGGGTATGTTTGCGTCGTAGTCATTTCATAGTTGAGATCTTATGCGGAGTGAAGTGTGCCGCCGTGACCTGGGCCACGAGTACGGATACGGACATGAAGGAGAAAAGGAAATACGACGACAACCACGGACGATCCGACCATGGAGTGGCTAGAGGAAGAAAAGGCGAGCGGCCCAGCCGCGCGAATGGTTAATACGATAGTCGTAAATTAAATGAAGGCAATAGTGGGCTGCCGCAAATGAGGCTTGCCCGTCTGAACAGATACTGGCACAACGTTGGTCAACGATGCGGAGATGAGGTACAACTGTGTGAGTCTACCTGACGATTGTTGGCCCATTTCTCAGGACGAGGTCGTAGTGGTGATGCAAGGCTCGTAGGGCTATGTGAGTAAGTCGACCACGGCATGGAAGGTATGTGGGTAGACACGCCTGCAAACTCGGACTTGACCGTCAGACCCGGCCAAGTACGGTTCCATGCCGCACAGCCCTGGAGACTCTCGATGGTCGAGCTTGAGAGTTGGATACTACGCCGAGTTGCTGGATATCATGTCGAACCTAGTCGGAGGAGGCTTGGCTACCAGGTGCATATTAGCGATGGGCAAACACCTGGGTCCTGTTGTGGTCATCGGACAAGCTGGTCAGGCGGTAGACAAGAGATGTGGTTGGCTGAGGGAGCGATTTCGCGCGATGTCACGGCGGCTCGCGGAAGTTGGACCCTGGCCTGGGTGGGATCGTCTCAACGGACCCTGGCAAACCTAGGCCTGGTGTTTACACCCCTCACCCCCCTACCCCCTAGTCGCATACGGGGTATAAGTTGGTCTATTATCGCGATGGATTGGGTCAAGGTTGGAGAGAAGTCGAAGGAACTCGACGTCGTATTCAATGAAATGGAATTGGAAATCAAATTAGAAAGCGGTATGGCGCGAGGGCCGGGAACCTGCTGCTGAGAGGCATGGTCCCTTCATATGAGCGGAATATTTGTGTGGCGGTCGAAAGAGTCGCGACGGCGTGCAGAAAGAACATGAGGAACAGAGAAAACAAAGATGCGGAAGAAAAATGTTTCTTGATATTGAAACACGAAGCTTATTTCAAACAAGTGCTTGGGGTAATTGGGCGGTGGTTGCCCAACCTGCATCTCTGGCACCGATCTGACATGAGGGGAAGACCTGGGCTTGCCTGGCACCGCAGACTTGGCACCACGCCGGTGAGGAGAAGAATGACGCCTGGCAGCCTGGCAGCCTGGCTCTAAACGAGGATGCTGCAATCAATTTAGCCGTTGGAGCTGATTCGCTTTCTATGCTGTGAGTTGTAACAAGCCAATTGGCAACTGTCCAGCCGCCCCCCTCCCTCTCCGGATTGGACTTGCCACTTGGGCAGCTGACCTGAGTCGCTATGCCGCGCCGCCAAAGCAGGACAGGAGAGCACAGAACGGGGCAGGGCAGGGCAGGGCAGGGCCAATGCCAAATTGCCATGAGGGTCAATTGACTCCAGGGCAGGGCAGAGAGTCTGCAGGAAACTGCGTAAGTTGTGCGTGATTTGACGCGGTACGTTTGCTGACGTGCACGCACTGGTAATCCGTCTTCAATGTTGCATGTACCGGTCGGTATCATGGGCCGTCGGATGGATACACGAACAATTGAGGTTCGAATTGCTGACCTGTCCATAGGAGGCTTAGGAGGCAGTTATTGAAACTTCGAGGTCGTAGCTGCTGCCATTGGTAGTGGGCCAACTCCACCTGTGCTGCGTGCAGGCACGGAAATCGTCAATCCCCAGCTCTTGGGCGGCATGTCGGCGATGTCCACTCATCGACAAACATTTGCAGCCTCTGGCCACTTGAGCAAGCTCTGGCGTGGATTTCGTCGACGTCGTGGACCACTCCCAAAATGAATTGGCAAGGGCCCCCGTTGCAACTCTCGTCCCGCCGTTACATGTTCAATGTCAGCCAGTAGTGCGCCGTCCATTGCAGTGCGGAGCTTTATCGAACTCGCTACCCGAAATAGCCATTCGTTGTGACCGCAGTTCTGCACGCCACATGCAATCATGCTAGTGCCTGGAAACGCCTCCATGGCCTATTTGAGACTGGGCAAATTGCAGGTGGCCCTATGTAGCTTCCTCCATGTCCCCTTTGGACGTTTTGAGAGCTGCTGCATGCGGGGTGTACGGTGCTTGCTGCAACCCCCGTCTTCGAAAAAGCCCGCCGCGGCACTCGCGCAGCCGGGCAGGCTGTCGTTCACGTCAACACGAATAATCGGTTGTGGATGGCTGGGTGGATAGGGTGGCGTGGAATGGGGTTCGCCACTGGCGCTGCTGCTTGTCTCAAAATAGCTCCCGATAAGTACCCTACGCACAAGCGAGATTTCTGGATTGATGAGATGAAAATTGATGAAAAGGCTGACCAGGTCCACTACAACCTGGATGAGGAACGCCAAGCCCCCCGCCTGCCATGTCTAACGTAGCGACAAGTGGCAATGGCCCGACCGACTCGGCCGGTGAGCAAGCCTGAGCATGTCCTCTCAGCGGACACCACGCCCCAAACTTCGTACTCCGTGCCGGCTTTCCAATTTCGCACAGACCTGGTGCCCGTTTGACCAGAGGGCCCGCTGTCAACCTGTTGGGATCTGAAATGTTTCGACCCTGTTAAGGTTAAGCCCACCTTCGACCGATCCTTGCTCTTGCGGGGCGACAAAGACTGAAAAAGGAGAAGTACCTGGACAGCTCGGGAGGGAAACCCGGTGATTCGTCCGGCCATTATTTCACTTTTTCCTTGGGCAAATAGTTCGGAGCGCAGAGCCGAGCTAAGATCATGGCAGACCACCGGGTCTCAGAGTCGTCTCTGCCGGCGGCCCTGGACAGTGCCCTGGACGGACTAGGGGGGCGGAGGACCCCAAGGTACGTTGTGGCAGATCCGGACAAGGTTGAAGGAGATTTTTCTCGCCAGGGCGCGTTGAGCCAAGCCAGGTACTTCCAAATTAGTCCCACGGACCATAATCCGTAATGTTTGTTTCGATTGTCGAGTTCCAGTGGAAGTAACTGAAGAATTACCTGCCCTGACCTTGTCTACAATACGGCTAATACGCGGGATTTCAAATAATTTCCTGTCGATGCGGACATGAAAGCTTGGCAGCTGGAGCTGACGAAGCCATCTGGAGCAGCATCGCTTGCTTGACGAAATTGGCGTTACCTAGAGGTGGACATTGGGTCGCTCGATTAAAGATCTCCGAGTGTCACCCGTCCATCTAGAAGGTCAAGACTGGAGGGGGTGGACCAAGCCATGGTGGTAGGGGCTCGGAGGGGGGCGTGAACACATTGTTTTCGTGTCCATGCCTTATTAGTCCCTTTTCTAGCTGTAGAACAAACGCGTTACCCTAATGCCAACCATAACTGGCCTCGAGAGCAGGTAACTACTACCCACTGTACCAACCACCAACCTGTCTGCCACTCGTCGTCACAGCACGTCCACAAGTGGAAACTTGGCTTCTGTCCACCTGATACTGGTGACATCTAGTTGTGGGCCCGCATTATGCTTTGGTCCTGCTTAAGTGGCCATCTGAAAAAAGAAAGAACCTCTTTCTCCCGCATTTATCATCGTCTGATGTTTGATCTGCCCCAATCCCCAGAACCAGGTCCGGATGTCATGTGGTAGCTTTTTGGAACCGTTCCTTCTAATGGGTAGTGTGAGCTACACAAGACAATGTCTGGCACTAAGGCGGTTCTGCCCGTTTGACCCTGAAAGAAGCGAACCAAGGGAATCCACAACTTCTTCGCGCGAACCTGTCGGGTTTCCAGGACCTTGGGAGGGAAGAGACTGGTTTAGCGGGCAATTGCGAACTGCAAATCCGGAACAGACCGTCGGGATAAATGGGTTTGTTACGTAGATATCGATGAGAAACTGTACTGCAACCTGCTCAATCTCACTGTTATTTCGAGCAAAATTTAAAATCGAACGTGTGTGCTTTAGTCACCCATGGGTAGAGCCAGCCAGCAAAAGTCGATCGATATTTTGCGAGGAACACAGTACATCCATCTTCTACTCCTTTTCCGTGTCCAAGCAGGCAATAAGATGTGAGATGCGCCATTTCAAAAGCTACTTGCTCACCTGCGGGTCACATGCCAATACATATCGTAGACCAGACCACAGGAACACTATCTCCAAGAGAGCCTGCCCAGGTGATGTTAGCGTCTCGCTTTTCGGTCGACATACCTATCAAAACCTTTGGGGGCCGGGGGGTGTTTGCCCGAAACTCTGCACCAGAGCAACGTTATGCCTCGAACTTTGCATGTGCATCTTTAGGATCAAGCGATGAATGCGTAGGGGCGTATCGACAGCTGGCTGTTGCAAGGCCAAACACAGCTAGGGCTGGCTTACGAAGAACTTTGCGTAACCACTACTTGCTGACTTACTGACAGCCGGAGTGAAGCGGCGACGACCCTGCGGTAAAATTCTCCGATGTGTCTCAGAGCCTTCACACATTATGTATGTATGTGCGTATCCTATGCCGCCAATGTTACATTGGCGCGGTAGATGGGTTGTGCTTGGCCCTGGGGTCGCGGTCAGTCAGGTGGCTAGGCCTCTATGCGCCGAGGTCCTTTTATTTATTTATTTTCTTTATCTTGTCCTTCGTTCTCCAACCAACGCAGCAGCTCCTGAGAGAGCGCAGCATAACCATATACCATGAGCCTAGCGACTTTGCTAAGGGAGTTTTTTTTGTTTTTCTTTTTTAACCGTGGCCAGTCGGGAAGTAGTGCGTAGTCTCTATTCTTAGAATATCATTGTTTGTAAGACGGCGTACATAGGAAGATGGGAAGGAGGGTGGGGTTTTGTGGTCTAGTTCTAGGCTAATGCAGGTATGTTGCTCTGGCGCCGTGAAAGCTACCCAGGGGGTCGAGCAGTTAGCCTTATTCCTGGGTCTTCCAAGGGCGGGGGAAGAGCTCGAGGATGTTTAAAAGTTCCCCGTCTTAATAGAAGTACAGTACAGTGTATTGGCTCAAGGTTACATGTGACCACGAACGTGTGGGCTGCCGTTTTAGCCCCATCGTCATATACCCAAGAGAACGTAGTACCAGGGATCTGCTGTTCTGAGGTGACTGTCCACTAATTTTTCCAAAACAACTGGGACTGGGAGATCAAGCAATGGCTAGCATGCTGAATTGGCTTTCGGAACATGTTCGGCGCATTCGCAAATTCCACGCAAAGAGTGCAGTAGTATTTGCCGAGCGCATACTTTGAGAAGGTCACAATCCACAAGTTCGCAAGTTTTCTGCATTGATGCGATTTAGTCTATTCTGTAATCCTGGTATCAGGAAGACCTCTTGTAACAACATTAAAAAGAAAATAAGCAAAAGTGAAGCGATTCGCTGTCTGGGGTATCGATCGATCGTCCATCCTGACGCCGCCTCCATCCCCCTAGTGGACCTGTATACATGCAAAACCAACTGTGCCAACAGCCAATGTGTTAATAGAAACAAAACTCTCTCCAGGTCGTCGTAGTGCGTTGTACACTCGACCACAAACCCCCGTACGATCCATCATGCTTGTTTTCAGATAACGTAAGACCACTAGTCCTCTCCCTTGCCATCATAAGGGGCAAAGTGCATCGAAGCAGCACCCGTCGAGGGCTCGGGAGGCATGTTGCCTGTAAGCGGGGTCGGGATGCCGTTGTGTCGCGACGTGCCATTCTCGTAGATGTTGGGGTAGTTCTGATACTGCACACCCAGCTCCGGAGCGAAAGTGTAACCCGGACCTTCCGGCGACACAGAACTTGCTGACGAGGTGCCGAATTGGTAGGCTGACTGCCCTTGGGGAGAAGCGTGGACGCTCGCAACGACTGGGTGTTGTTGCGGCGGCACGTGGGTCGTGATGGACGGTAGGTTGGCCGTCTGGTCTACGGCTGGTTGGGAGAATTGCAACGACTGGCGATGGTTGTAGGCGAAGCTATGTTGGGGGGATGGGTTGACCGGCCAGTTGTTGGTCGGCGTATTTGCATCAATGGGCGAGTTGTACAGCTGGCCGTTGGGCATCTGGTGGAATCCCTGATTCAGCGAGGGGAGGATATTGGAGCTCGCCGGAGCCGGCGTGCTAGCCCCGGAGAAAGGAGGCGATGAGTAGAACTGTTGTGTTCCAGGTGGAGAGAAGCCCGAGACGGGAGGGTAGGTTTGAATGGAGCCCCTGTGGTGTATGGGCATCCCGTACCCCTGGCTTTCGGTTGATGCATTTCTCGACCGCTTCGGCAGAGGCTCGTCGATGTCAACCTCTCCTTTGGCGGAACGGGTATTGCGCGCGTTCTGTGCCACCTGGTGGTTTCGCTTGGCCGTCGTTAACTTTCGCGAGTCCTTGCGGAGGCGGACCTTGACACCCTGATCACTGAACGAGCGTGTCATGACTGTCGATTCGGCCATGCCAGGGTAATCTTTGCTAGTGTACACCTTAAAGGGGTCTGAGTCCGTTTCAGCCACCGTCTCCCACTCACCCAAGTCGCCAGGATCACTGGGGTTTGTCTTCATCTTCATCAAGGCAAAGTGAAGCTTGAAATCGCCAGGGATCTTGATGAGAAGGTCGGGAAATATGAAGAAGCCCGACTCTTGATTTTGCAGGTCCTTCAGACGATGTAGAGATGATACCATAGAGCCTGTCATGTTTTTGGCGTGTTGCTGGCTTGACTCGCCCTCGTGCTTGCCCGTGGGAACTGAGGATGCGACCACCATGATGTAAGGGTCGTGCAGAGAGAGGTGAGGGAATGTGTCCAGCTTGACAATGGGCGGGGGGTCAATGGGCGATCGAGACTTCTCCTTGGCACCCTGTGCGGCTTTGGCATTGGTTGGTTGCTGGACTACCCTGATGCGCCAGCTGCCATCGTTGGCGTTGCTCGAATCAGGCAACGGCTGATACATGCTGCTATGTGAAGAGGGCACTTGTTGCGACGCGTATGGATATTGCGGCTGGGCGTGATGCATAGACTGAGAGAAGCCGTCTGGGTACGGCTGCCACGCTTGGTTGCTCATCGTGGAAGGGGATGATGCTCGCTACTTATCGAGTAAGTAGGGCTGCCTCATCCGCAATCGAGTCACTAACCTTGCACAAATTTGAGTAGAGCGAAGGGGGGCAACCCGGGGTGAAGGATACGATGCAGTGCGCTGATTATGCAGAAGATGTCTTGGTACGATACCGGTCAACGGAGGGTTCGGTTCGGTCGAGTCGGTCGCGCGGTTGCTACCACGGCAAAGTTGGTATCGGTCGAGGATGTTGAATGTTGTGTTGAAAAAAACCAGGTCGAGGTACTTCACGAGTACTTGGGCGGCGTTATGTCTTTTGTTGACCACGGAACGAATGCTGGCGAGACTTGCTTTATCCAAACGATACCTTATATGTCCAAACACCAAATTCCACGTGAAGCTGAACGGTGGGGAAAAAAGTGAAAACTTTGCCCTTGTTGGGCTGCGTCTGGATATAGGTCAAGGCTCCGTGGCGGTGGATGTATCTCAAAGATTTCGAGAAAACCCGACTGCTGGTTGGATTATTCCTCCGGCGACCCGGTCTACAAACTTCGTAAGGTTTGGTTGAGGGATGGACGAGGCCGCGAGACAGCCTAGTTGTCGGAAGAGTACCCACAGTTGTGAGTGACGCAAATTTTCGTGCCGATTGGAGGTTTTTTTGAGTCTGTATTGCTGTTTGAGGTGCGGCAGAGTTGCGGCGGCAGATCCCAATATGTATTCTGCGGTACCGTTTACGTCTGAGCACGGCAAGTCCAACTAGTGGCGTTGAGGTGCGTATGTGACTTCACCAGCGTGCCGCGCACAGTTGCCAACCCGGTGTACCGCCCTTTTTGACGGCGAGGGATGCGAGTGCCAGAAGGAGCCGGCAGAGCTTGATGAGATCAGTCTGGTGAGACGATTATGGGCGATCCCACTGAAGTTCAACTGTTCCTGCCCGCGTTACTTGTGTGCCAGTGCACGGGTTGAGGAGCTGATGCCTGAGGCCCAATTCCAGCAACTAATCTTTCGAATGGCTGCGTGGGGAGTAGATTTGTCTCTGGTGGCGGAACGCAAGGCAGTGAAGTGAGGGAACGGCACAACGTGACGTCCTGAGATGTCGACCACCGCTGACCCAGATCGGCTAACAACGACCATAGGGTTGAAAAAGAAGAAACGGTGGAATGGTTGGAGTTATAATTAAAATATGTATGTGGTATAAGTGAACGATTGACAGAAGGCAAGATTGAAGTTGTTGGAGGTGACACAGCCAGGGACGATGACAACAAGATAGATGGAAGAACGGGGTAGGTTCGAGCTCCGACAGGGGACCAAAAAGAATCGATCTAGATGCGGAGAGACGAAAGAAGCCTCAATGATACGTCAATCGCGGAGCCGTGTCAGCGTAAATAGACAGGTGCTGGCTACTGGCTGCAGAGACGTGGAGCTGCTGGAGGGGTCGGTGACATTAAGGGGGTGTGGGTGTAGGGCATGTATGGCAGGAGTCGAGAAGATTTCCGGGCTGTCGACCACGCTCGAGTCCCTGTCTATATGAGATACCCAGGAGAACCCAAATATGGTGCCGCGGGGCTCTGATAGTTGGCTCAGTTATTGGATATCGTCGGCTGGCGGTGGGGGTGGACTCTTAGGGCGTAGTTCAATCCAGAGTCTCCCCAACGATTTGGCGGGCCGAGTGTCTCGAACTTTTTAGCTGTAGGCGGGAAGGCGATCCTTCTTGTTATTTTCTGGTAGTCCCACAGATTCCGGAGATCCTGAGCACGTCGCGGTCCCGGTCGACGTTGCTGTCTATGGCCAAGCTGACACCGGATGCCCACGAACCAGGCAAGGCGAGTCGAGCTATCCAGGTTCGAGCGAGCGTTGCAAGACGGTATCTGCTGCTAGCGACTGCGCCTTCTTTGGTGGCGCTGGGTGTAGGAGATGTCGACTGATGTAATATCAAACTCTTTCTCTTGTTCCGCTTGATGGGTATCAAGCTTTCTGTGGCGCACAATGGGCTTGGGCGATGCTAAAGTAGTGCCCGCTGTCAAAACCGTAGTTGATTGCAGATCGTCTCTGGGGCGACATAAAGTTATGGGTGCCTTGAGATCGAACGGCCAGTGGATGTGATGGGGAGGAATAAGTCGCGATGCGCATGCGGTCTTGTCTTTGAATGTTCGTACGGGATGTAGTGTGGAAACGGTAGTTGATGCGCCCGACTCCAAATGGAAGGCGCTATCCAGACGAAGAAAATCCTCGTTGACACAACCAGGTTTTGCCGACTTGAGGTTAGAGTCTGCGATGTACGAGGATGAGCTCGGGAGGACTGTGATAATGCCGTGCTCGCGACTTCTTGTGAGGTTTCAGCAGCTCGGCGTCGTCAACATCACGACACACTCAAAGCACCGAGAAGATTATGGTTATTCTATCAGGTTGCTTTGCGACGAGAACCAGATAATAAGTAATACCATATCTAGAAATGGTACGGTACTTCAGGGTTTAATGGAAATGATAAAATAAGTACCTGGACCATAACGAGCACGGAAGCCAGGAGGAAAATGCCAGCATGAGAGCTCTCAATGTACAAAAGATGACGATGGTGGGACAAGGTTCACAGTGATCTACAAGCAGCGTTGGTACTCGGCCGCTGGACACACGGTTCAAGTACGTGTACAAGTACCTGGAGAGGGGCATGATATCCACCGTGGGCAGGCTCGATGCAAGACGAAATCGCCTGTGTGGCCGTCGTGCCGTCGCTGCTGATCCACAGGTTGCAGGGAGCCTGGCTGGGGCTCGGAGGATATCCAGCTGTAGCGGTACCTGCTGCATAGTCGATGTCCCAGGGGAGAGCACTATGGTAGTACGCGGCTCTGGGGTACCATCGAGTGCATGGGGGGGCGGTCAAGTTGATGAGGACCGTTGCAGGGGTTCACTCAGCATTCGACGTTGGCAAAATGGAATCAGTAATGCCTGTCTGGGCCGTTTGTCTGTGCGGTACACAGGCGGGATGAGCGAGGGATTCATGCTGGCTCTGCCGCAATGCCCAGAAGTTCCTCCGACTGCCACTCGCCTTGCATCCCCTGCGCATCGAGGTCAGAAGATTTTTTTTGTTCAAGCCGAAATGCGGCATGACGGGAGCGGGAGCAAAGGCATTTCATTTCTTGGGGGCTGCAGCAGCCACATTGGATGGAGCCGAAGTTAGGGTATCGTGCCTGGCCGTCCGAGTCTCGACAAGACGAATGGCGCCTGACTGGATTGGTCGATGCCATTCGCGCAAAAGAACTCCAGCATCTGGGGGTTTCATTAGTTGCATGTTTGCGGATAGTCACCCACGCACACACCCACACACACATACATACACGCACAGAGACAGGCACAGACACACATACATGCGCAGATGGCAAAGGCAACGAATGAGTGCAGTGCAGTGCAGCATTTGGCGGCGGCGGTAGGTTCCGCCGTTCACCGTTCAATAGAAGCCCGCTCGATGGAGAGCCGATGCCACCTAGCAATTAGGGACCAGTATGTACCCATTGTATCTGTACGGCATGCTTCTGTGAGGCACCGAGGCAGCGAGCGAGCGACAGAGCCGGTGGGCGAAGCGAAAGGAGCGAAAGACCGCTGATGGTCGGCACTGTGAAGCTTGGCCCAACAAGCTATTGTTAATGACTGATTACCCAGTAATCTTGATATCCTGGAAGCGTTGCCGTTTGCGACCGGGGTGCTGGGGGAGGGAAGTCAAGTGTTGAGTGGTGCACTGCACTGTGGTGCTGGCTGGTAAGCTGCTGGCTCGCTCGCATGCATGCCTGTTGATGCTCAACCGCGGCAGGTCCTGGAAGTTGACAGGTCCGGTGGCGATGGTGATCGAGATGGACAGGCTCCAGAAAACGTAAATCAGACGACGCAGCTCTCAAACTTGTCAATCGAGTTCGGCAGGCCGTCCCGAGCTGGGTCGTGTTTCAGAAGCTTCCATGGCCCCATGTCGGGCATGTGCGTCGAAAACTCAAAAAGACCAGCAGGTGTTTGGGGATGGGTGGTGGATGATGGCCATCATGGGCTTGGATGCAAGTCGCTTCGCCAAAGCTGTTCCAGGGCCAGAAGGGCAATGACAGGTTCAAGGCAGGTGCAGCGCTCCCTCAATGCCAGTGGGTGCAGGTGGCCCGCCCACTTGGAGACTGGGAGTTCCTGGCAGGGGAGGCCGAGGGCCGCAGGGGGACGGTGCACTTTTGGGAGCAAGGGCCTGAGGGTGGAGCGTGCCCGGCAACACAACCGCCTGACAGGCCGGGGGGTGCATGCTCGGACGGCTTGCTGGCATTCCTGCATTCCCTTCCACTGTCCGTCCACCTTACCCTCACGTTCCTGCCATGGGATAGGAACTACGCAAGATGGCTTGATAGAGGTTCCTGTAGTTCAAGGAAACGTGCATGGAGAACCGCAAGACTCGGGCAGCAACTTCGAAAGCCTGCCAAATCAAGGCAAAATGTATCCATTGCCGATGGGCTCGTATGAAGCAACCCACTTGCACTCGATAATTGGCAATAAGGGGTTTAGTGGCCGTTAATCCTATGGGGCGCTGCACTCCGTACTACAGAACATGAGAACTGTGCGACAAGGCCAGCGCAGGTGGATAGGGTAGCCTTGAAGACTGGGGCAGCTTGGACTGAAGAGGTTTTCAGTCCGTGGTCAGCGTGCCATTATTGTGTCCAAATCTCCGTGGCTTCACTGCAATCATGACAGGTAATGTTCAAATCTCGGTACCTCTAGCTATTTGACTTGCGCCTACAATTGACGACTGCCCTAGCTTAATCCATATTCCTAGTGAATGCTACTAGTCCACGTCCAAACTCATCTTCCGAATTGATAATATTACCGCAGACCTAACTTGGTAACTGCTGCTGGTGTGTAGCAGTGAGAATGACGAGGAC